GTAGCAAGGCTCTTTTTTTAAACCGGTTGACTTTGATAAAGGCCTTTATAAATTTAGCGCCCCCTTGAGGAACCACCAAGCAACGACAATAGAAACCTGCAGGTCAGAGATCAGACTTTAAGATGATGTTACTTTATAAATCACTGAACGGATTAAAGCTCTACTGGTGTTGTATCAACCTTCCAGACCTCTCAGGTCTTCTGGTTCTGGTTCTGCTCTGCAACCAGAACCAGAACCAAACATGGAGAAGAAGCATTCAGCTTCTGTATCCCACAAATCTGGAACAAACTTCCAGAAAACTGCAAAGATGCTGAAAGACTAAAACTCCACCTGCTTAAGGCTCTTTGATTCATAGTAATTGGAACATTAATCAGTGTATTTGATGCATATTTGCTGGATGATTTTGATGATGGTGTTAGACAAAATGTAATGTTTACTGCTTGCTTCATAATTGGTTACTGTATTATGATTTTGGTCTGTGCAGCTCTTTGTACTGCATTGTTGCTAAAATATGCTATGCAAATAAATAAACTTCAGCTCGACTAGAAACAGGAACATATTTACAAAAACTTTATTTGCTGAAAGTATAAATATTTGCCTCCATTGCTTTAATCACACTTTTTAGAAAACCACAAGCATCCCAACAGTAAAAAGATTTGTTCCTCTGATACTCTAAAAGACTTGAATGTCCTGCCACCAAAACAGGATTCACTATTATGAAAAACAATCTGCTCTAAATGTTGGTGAATATCCTCACAGCTATGATCTTTTTAAAAATAATTCCAACTATTTGCAAACTTATGAACCGGAGTTGCTTTAATTAAAACAAATTAAAAACTAATCTAGAAGCAAAATTACCCAAACATTTCTGACATTTTCACCAAAAATCTTTCTATAGAAAAATAATATTGGTCTTTGTACATGCTGAAAATAACAGAAAGAGCAGCTGAAGTTGTCTTTGTTGATAACAGCATCAGCAGCTGTGACACAGCCTGGTCATTGTGTTTTACAAAGAGATCAGCTGATAACACTGCCAGTCAATGTAACTGACATAATTGGTCCCCAGTGTCAGTTTCCCTAATGAGCTTCTTATCTCCCTGCTTCATGTTGTCAGCATGGGAAAAAGTCACAGCCACCAGAAATCAGCCTTTTCAATTGAAAAACAGCAAGTAAGCACATTCATTAAACATTATCTTTTGACAAAATCCCTTTGAAAAATGACAGGGTTGAGATGCATTGCATACAAGGCAGTGTTCAAGATAAAATTTCAGTTCAGAGACTCTTCCTCCCTTACCTTGCAGTCCTAAAATTCGGAGGGATTTATCATTTAAGACTTCTCAAGTCAAACTTCCCTGCAAGCCCCAGATGAATGTCTGCGCAGAGCTCCTCTCAAACAGATGTCCTCGCCCACCACGAGTAAGTTCAGATTCACTTTGCAGCCACTTATGAGGTAGAGGAGGAGCCCGCAAGGCAAACTCGCAGAAGGAAAGGAAGAAGAGGGAAGTGAGAGAGGAGTGGGAAGTAAATTTGGGGAGTGGTGGGGGGCTGGGGGTGAGAGGGGAAAGCCAGAGACTGGTCCAAATGGAGAGAGTCGGAGTGACTCACAGCAGAGTGCTGAAATAAAGTAAAATACAAAGAGGGTGACACATTAAGAGGCGAGGTCTGCATGTCAAGAACAAGCAAGAAGTTTATTCGTCCAGAGAAACTTATAGATCAATAGATTCACAACATATCACAGTCCATTTGCATTGCATTTATCTTCTTTACAAGGACCTTATTTGTAGAATATATAAACATAATAAAGTTTTAAAATCTTTGTAATAAACAGAGTTGCTAACATCCATACGTCCATCTCATTTACCCTTCAAGATTCAAGGTCGCCGGTCACCAGGCGAGAGGCCGAGTTCTCCCTGGACGGGTCAAAGGGCAGCACAGACACACACACACACACACACTCATGCCTAAGCACAACTCTAAGAGAATCTGTTTCCATAGTAGGAATAGGATATCTATAACAAACATTGTGTTAGTTGATGTATTTCCTTGTCATTTTAACAGCTAGATGAATCAAATGCTTGGATAAAGAGCATGCAGAGCTCCCAAATGGCCCACATATGTGCTGGACCTGAAGCCATGGAGGACAGACAAAACTGAATGAGTAGTAATGGAACAGAAGAAAACATCTGCTCAGGGCCCTGAAGGATCTTTGACTCGAGGAAAGTTGTCCACACCTTCCTGTAGAGCCGGGTAAGTGGTCTCAGTAAATGTCTTTGTTGCAGGTGTTGATTTGAAAAGCATAGTCTGATTTAGCTTTAGTCGGCCGTTATTTTAATTACATTTTAGGCAACTAATGATTTGTTTGGATTCAGGTAGGAGACAAACTGAACAGAGTTTCCACTGCCAGCTGGATTCTCACTGGGTGGGCGGGGCTAAACCCAAACTCTCCACATGGCAACATGCTAATGTGATGACAAATGTCAATAGAACGCCTCACAAACGGTAACAATTTTCTGATCCCTACTCAGTCGACTGTTATATGACAGACTATCGACTACATCAAAGATGACAGTAGATCCGTCTTAGTCTTATATTTTAGTTGCATTGTGTCATTGTTCTATGTTCTGCAACAGTGATGGTGTGCTCCTGGTGGTCATATTGGCCACTTTTACAATATACAAAATAACATAGCATCAACCCGTGCCATGTTGATCATTGGCAATGAGGAATTGGTCTTACTTGAATTTAATTGGCCAAATTTACTTTCAATCTTGACAACTATAAGTCACAGAGAAATGCTTCATATTTAAAAGCTTCTTACATCTTTACATGTAATCTGAACAAAATGTACATATGAACTGTTACTAATGACAAATTCTCAAAGATGTTAAATAAGAAACATCTTTCATATTATCAGGGATTAATTGGAAAACCTGAAACAGGAAGTGCCATCATTCCAGGGTTACAAATAGTAGCCAAAAATAAAGCAGTTGAGGCAATTTGGTTTCTTAGATTTCAGTTTTTGTATCCAAGCTGTTGAATTGCTCTTCCATTCTCTGTGTTCTGTTGTCAACCATTAGAAGAGGTCTTCTATGACTGATGTCTCTTCAAGCCCACAGCTGGTATATCCACACAGGAAATGTCTTTCTGCAGACTCTTCACAGGAGAAACATAACCTTCAACTAAGAATGGACACATAGACTAAGTCTCATATTTTGGTTCCATAGACAAGTGTATAACAAACTAAGTGTGAGTACTCTGCCACTTTTATTAAATACACACATACACACTCTCTTATTGTGAATGTACCTTGACATGGTGAGGGCAACAAGACCTACATTCTGTTTACCAAAGCTGTCAAGACAGGACCATTGACCCAAAGTCAGACGTTATGGAGCAGCTGGAATATTTGAGTCATTTTCATGAGCAACGGTAAGATAGAGAGTTACAGACCAGTGAATCATGAGGCTCACTAATGAGGGCACTGCATCAGTATGTTCCAATCCTAACTTATGATCATCTTAGTTATGACTCAACCATCTAAATAATTAGTTTAGCAGGTATAAAAATTGGGTTATGTTGGGAAAGCTTGGAGCAAAGCAGTTGCTGCTTCACATAAGTAGACCCAGAACTTACCAAGGTTATACGCGTCTTGAAGATTGACAGACAAGTGTATACCTGAGGTATTTTGCTTGCTTTTCTCTGTTTGTGCCTCTGCAGTGCAAACCGAGTCCTTCTAGTTGTACAACTCACTTCAATAATAATTCTTCTGGAATCTCTTTCTGATCAAGTACCGTTTGCAACTTCACAAAAGTGGTATATCGAAGGTTAAAGACTGAATTTGTAATCTGTAAGTTTGAAACTGATCTGCCTTCAATCCAGCTGGAAGATCTCAGTTCAAGTTTATAATTTTACCTCCACGACTAAAAAAGCCTGGAAATTACAATTGTATCCACTTAGCTCTTCGTCTGAACCTCAACATCTGCCAAGAAATTTAAACAGATCTATCAGAAGTTATAATGTAATCAAACATTTGCAGTAAAACATTTTATTGAGACCAATCAACTCTGGAAACTTGAGTTCTACCTATAGTGAGCATCTTTAACATCTTTATCTTCTCTGCCATTTGGCTCCGCTAAAGAATCTGTTAAAGCAAAAAACAAACCAAGATTCCCTTCAGAAAACCTCTCCAGCTTAACTGAGGAAAATACATCTTGATAGTAGCAGGTGGCAAATCTTCAGACCTGCATGAATTCCTCGTGGCCTAGATTCAACAAGGTGGTGAAAATACCAAAGACAGTTTGTAGCACCACAGGGGGCCCAGAGGGTACAGCTCTAGCTCCATTACTCTTCACTTCACACATATCTGACTTTCAGTTTCACTCTGGGTCTTGACATGTCCAGAAGTACTCAGATGACACTGTCATTATAGCAAGTATCAAATCTAGAACACACTTCCATAAAACTGCAAACAGCTGAAACACTGAGCTCCTCTAAATCAAGACCAAAAATAAGAACATTGACCAACATGTTTGATGTGAATTTCTGATTTTTATCATGGCACTTGACAAAATGTAATTTGTATTATGGGTTTTTATAGGTATTGACTATATGACGTATTTATGATTATGTTTTCACAATGTAAAGCACTTTGAACTGCTGTGTTTCAGAAATGTGCAATATTATTAGACTTACCTGAACCCAGTAACAAATGACCTGGATGATTTTATTGCAATGCTAGTTGGACATTGCAGATCTGTTGCATTCTAGTATAGCTTTATTTTGTGCTTCCTTACTTTTTTATTTTTATTTTTCACTATTTAGACAAAATAATTTTTCTGCAAGGACCAATAAAGTGATACTGAATCAATGAAACTCAACAAAATTATTTTGAAATTACGGTAAAAAAGTGACTCAAAAACAATAGTTATCAAACTTTTGAAAGTTTGATAACTAAAGTTTTGTAACAAAAGTTGTTAGTAATGAGACTATGAAACCCAGTGTAATTGTTTCTTCTATTTAATAACATAAAAAATTCAAAACGTGAAAAAAGGCCAAAAAACACAATGCGTTAATATTTATACATTTTGAAATACGAACTACTCATCAATACAAATAATCCATTAGGCTAGACGTACATATAGCAGGAAAAACATAAATCTTACATTTTATGTACACTGTTGTCTTTTTTATTGTAAGGACACTCAAATTCCAATTTATTGTGATATTTGACAAAAAAAAACATACATATTTGACAAAAATATGTATCTTTTATGAAGGCATTGATTCTCAGCATAGATACAAATATATATGTATATGTTCTTCTGCATTTACAGATAGCTCATTATTAAAGGGTTTAGTGTCATCACCATCACTTATTCACCTTACTTTTAGAAAAAAGCCTTTGAGATGAATACCTGCAGCAGTAATGGAACAGAGGCTGTTTGAAAATCAGAAATCATCAAATAGGTCTTCAGCTTCTGAAGTTCCTGCTGAAGCTGCTTTTGTAGCATCTACAGAGCGCTGGGGAGTCTGCAGCTGACTGGATGCTGCAGAGGAGTGTGTCCTGTTCAGTACACACACACACACACACACACACACACACACACACACACACACACACACACACACACACACACACACACACACACACACACACACACACACACACACACACACACACACACACACACACACACACACACAAAGAAAGAGAGAGGGAGAGAAGATGAGTGGGTTATTGAATATGATCTACAGGAGAGAGAAGAAGTTTGTCATGTGACAAGACAAGGCACAGCCTTTCATGGGAGGGCTGGTGTGTGAATGTGACATAGCTGCGTTTCCATTGATCATATATCAAAAATAAATCTGCTTAATGAAAATATGTCAAGTTTGAAAAAAAGCTTCTTTTTTTTGGGCCATATCAAAATTGGGTTATTTCACAAAATTGCAATGGAAACACTTTTTATGCATCACACGAGTCACGTGAACAATAACCACATGTTACTATAGGTGTAACCCACTAAGAGGAAGACGACAGGAAGTAGTTGAAGGGTCACGGCACGGAATGCTTTCTAATGACTTTTCGCGTGAGCAAGCTTATTCATATATGATTAATTGCGTTTCTTATTTAACAGAAATGCCGCAATTGCAAAATTGTGTTTTTTCGAAATTAGCTGAATACTGACAAAATGTTAAGCACATTTGTAAAGAAAATGCAGCCACTGTCAATATGTTAATAACTTTCCTTAAAACTGTCAGGGGCAGGAAGTTGATTCTGTGTGAAGCAGTCACACCCAAATCTAACAGCCAAGCAAGACTACTGAGAATCTGGAGTCGACTAAGCCTTCTTGAACCTTGCAACTCTTCTCACCTTCCTGAACCTAAGAACCAACCTCAGGGCTGAATACAATCCATCATCAGCCTCATACCTTTTTTTTCCTTCTGAGCTAGCAGTAATGACAAAAAGTTGAACATGAGGAGAAAAATACAGCGTGAGAGAGGGGAAAGAGGCCCAGAGGTAGTTTAAAATCATTACCAACTGTATTTCGGGCACTGCTGGAACCAGTTAAGAACAAACAACAGAAGTGTTTCAGTGGAGAGGGAAGTCTTTGCATGCTGCAGAAGAAGACCACTAAGGGGGGCATGACTAGAGGATTTTTTTCTTTTAGCCCCAAGGGGCGAGGTTAAAATCGGGTGGCGAGTGCGAAGGAGCCCCCACAGAGAGCTGATCTGACGAAGAGTCAGACCAGCAGGATGTACAGAACCATAATAACCGAGAAGCTAAACTCGGTTGCCAAGTTTAGCTTTTCCTTAAGTTTTGACTTAAGGAGAATTTGTTTTGCACAGGAAGAACCAGTCAGTTTTTGCTGATGTATGTAATATTGCCATAAGCACATAAGAATCACATTATACACATAAAACTTTCATTCTTCTGAACCATAGACCTTTTCTTTTTTTGAAGAGTTCTACAAGAAAATGACATTCCTTATAAGAATTGGATCCATTCTCCAAACTAAAATGGTAAATGGACTTTATCAGATGCTGATAAAGCGAAGAAAACGAGACCTCATCACCCCAACTCTTAAATATCTCCACTGGCTCCCCATCTCACTCTAGATATAATACAAGACTTCCCCCCAATTCATCCTTGGCTCCATAACACCTCAAAGAACTGTCTGCTCATTCCACTAACAGTAATGTGGGCAAAACTCTGCACCATGGGTGCTCTGTTGCACCTCGTCTGTGGAATACCCTCCAAACAATCTGAGGAAACCACAAACTCCTAATAAGTTACAGGAAAGGACTGAAGACCTTCTTTTTCAAGAGATTTTAGAGTGTTAAATGCATTTCATTGTTGTTCCTTCATTCTTTTATATTTTCAAGACATCTATATTGTCTTGAAATTTAGACAAGACTATATTGTCTATAGTCTTGCACTTTGAGACTACAAAATGTAAAGTGTTGTACAAATTCATTATCATCACATCAATCAAATTATAAATAGTAGTTTTGCTGGGATCCCAATCTCAATAAACGAAGTCCTCCTCCTCTGAGGAAAAGTCGACGGGACACAGATGAGCTCTAACATGTCCAGCAACTTCTAAGCATGAAAAGCTTCTTATTCTAGCATGCCATTCTCTCAACATGTAAAAGATCACAAAAAGAGTTGAAATACTGTAAAATAATTTGGATTATTAACATGTCCATTAAACAGTTAAGGGCCAATAGATTGGAGACAGAGTGACACAGGGTCAATAGACTACAGGAGCTGAGTGGAAATCTGTACTCTCTTGTGGATTATGACCATAAAACAGCAAAGGTTATATGTCAGGTGTGTCTTTTTACTTTTTTTTTTTGCCATTTAGCTGCTTCAAATTGGAATTGGATTGTTTGAAAATCTTTTGATCCTTTACAAGAGTCTCTCCTCGTTCAGTTGATAGAAAATAATGGTTTATGTATACACAGTGTCTGACTTGAGATTAATTTTGCCGCTGGTCCTGGTCCTATTCACATGATACAGTTCTGTACAAAATGCTTCAACTCTTCTGGTGAAGTGTGCCTTCGAGGATGTAGGCCATGTTTACTGAAACTGTTGTCTGCTCTTATTGGAGTAAATGTGTGACGTCAAGCACTAACGTTGAATGAGAAAGTCAGACTGACCGCCTCTTCTAATTTCATTATGACTTCATTATAATACCACCATCATCTGAATGTGGAATATTTAGGAGTGAGGAGCCTTCCTAACAGCCTTATTGCACAAGTAGCATCCTGTCACAGTACCATGCTGAATGCCTATGTGCTGGATTTTATACACCTGTGTCCATCTGGATTTCATTACCAGCATGAGCGAACCAGTACACTGGAGTATGTCAGGTAAAACAACACAAGACCGATACAATATAATCAGCATCTTCTTGAAGATGCAGTTTATTTGGCCATTATGAATAGAGAATTCATAGTGATTTATAATACAGTAAATTTTGGAGAAATACAGTGTCGTGCTCATAGCAGCTTTGTTTTCAATTTGAACAGATTTTCTTTGAACAGAGCTTTGTGTATTTCTGTCCTCAGAGGTCTTTTTCCTGATTTACAATGAAGAAATACAAATGTTATTTGATGAAAATGGTTGTTTTATTGTTTTCTGCTAGTGACCAAGTATATAAAAAAAAAAAAAAAAAATATTGTGAGTCAAACTGCTTGGATTAGTTTATGTTTGCCCACCCAAAAAAAAAAAACTGTTAGCTGATGATGCTCAAAACATAGAGGTAGTTTTGATGTGGATGCTTTGGGAACAACAAAAGTGTTTATGGAAATTGAATCTCTGATTAAATAGTGATGATGGACAAATACTATTGACATAAAGTCTAAATCTCAGAAACAAAAGAAAAAGGGCATTAACCACACAAGTAAACTGATACAAGATTGGAACTTTGTGTACAACTCTAAAAGCTTTATTAGGCTGGATAACTACAAAAATAAAGCTCCTGTTCAAAACTGCACAAAAAGCTGGTAAAATTTCACAATTTTAAATACTGTGGCACACAGTATTTGATAATATTTAATAGAGTATCAGATCTCAAGGGTGATGAATCCATGTTCTGCAACCCAGAATGGTATATCCTTAACCACTCAACCCTAAAATAGACAAAGTGAGACAATAAGGCTCACCAAAAGTGAGAGCATCATTGTGAAAAAAGCTAAACAAGAGTAGGGAAAATGTGGCTTAATTAACCACAAACACACCCACTGTGAAGGCCACCACCAACGTTTGCAAGCTATAATTTGTCTTGTTGAGAAGTAAAGCAATTGTTCTTTATTGCTGTGGTTTCTCAGTTCATTCTTTTGTTTTTTTTTTCCTTTTATTCTCCAGGTGTAGAAGCACACCAAGGTGTTTTTTCTTGATCCTTTTTTCTCTCCTTACTTATCTACTCCTCATTTGTCACACCTCATTAAGTTGGTTTTATTACCCTCTCTTTTTTATCTCCATTGCTTTTGAAATCCCAAAGCAATTTTGAATTCAGTTTGTTTTTATACATCTTTTGGAGTAGTATCAAGATGGGTTCCACTCTGCTTATCAAGGCAAATATGATGTGTGGTCTATTGTAAGCATTTTTAGAGGGGGTCTCAAGTATTCACAGATTTTAGCTTTTTGTGGGCAACTGTGCTCCTTGACCCCCACTAACACTGCGGGTCAACTGTGGTTCACATGATTTTACAAAAACATCAGGATATAATATGATGGTGTGTGAGAGGTTGTGAGCAGATTTAACCACGTAAATTTTGAAATAATGAACAAACAAAGCTAACAAGTGTTCTTTTCATTATGCTTACCTTTTTATGAACTGAGTTTTGACTGGAGTACACTCAGAAGGAACTTGCTGTTATCATCCTTTTACAGCAACCACTGAAGATTTCCATCAAAGATTATTCAAAAATTGTAATGTCTTAGCTTGTTGTGAGCAGAACACACCCCGCAGTTTATCCCTCCTCAGAGGAAAACGAAGAAGTTATGTTTCTAACAATGTACAGATTCTCCCTTCTGCCTCGTTTTAGTCCCTGTTAACACGTCATTTAGCTTTAAGTGTTTGTGTACTTAAAGGAAAGTTTTCTCACGAAAAGCAGCTAACAGAAAGTCACAGTAAAACACTGGCTGTCCTTGAAGCATGCACTGGTTCTGTAAGTGATCAAATATGGCGTCCAGTAATCATGGATAATCACTACAAGACACAGTGGTACTACTGCGGGTTTGACTTTTGGTTTTAACTAGCATAAATGACCACATTTTATGGTTTGAATGGAAAATGTGCATTACTCTGACAGAACATGAAAAATAGTTGAAAATGAAATATTACTTACCCCACTATTCTAAATTAATGTGTGAACATATTTTTTTGTGACCAGACAGAGTGAGAAGGCATGCAGCAAAGAACTGAACCCTAAAAATAAACTGTTTCTATAGTAACTTTCATTAAGGCAGCCATATTGGACTTTGACATTTGGATTAATGAAAAACATTCATAATAAAAAAAATATTTTACTCTTGGAACTTCAGTTTTCTATGGAGCTTCACATCATTTTTTCCAACTTCAAAATTTGAACATTTCAACTTCTGAGTAAGAGTGGAACACACTTAAGCTGCACCATTTAGTGAAAAGTCCAATGCCAAAAACCATTTTAGATTTAACTTTGATATGAAAAAAATACTGAAGTCTGATTTTGTTTTTTTTTTGTAGATGGAAACAACTGAGTGTGAACTGCTGACCGCTCTATCGGACAGATCAATTCAGTCCTTCTGTCATGGTGACTGAACACTGAGAAGATGCTGAACTGTAAAAGCTTCTAGGTGGAAGTGAACCTTATAATAAAGAGTAGATTTTTGTGGTGACATTAACATGATAACATGAAAACTGGAAAGTTGTGGCTAGAATGCTGAGAAACTTCAAACAAAATGTGCCAGATTGTGTTCAGCATCAACTGACTCACTAAACGAAATTGTAATGCCATAGTTGCAAATAATTTCCGAGATTTCACAAATCCTTAATTACTCATCTCTGTTCCTGTTCTCATATGACCATTTATTCCATTCTGGTTCCTTCAGCCAATAAATGTTCAGTTTCTTTTTCTTTAAATCTCTATTCCAAAATAAAAAAAATAAAAAAAGGGAACGAAAAAGGAGAAAAGTGAAAACTGAAAGTATGACCACCCGTCCACTAACAGCCACCAGAGAGCAATGATCTGTTGCTCAGGCAACAGCAGCTGCTCACTGGCAGGCTGGGAATAAAAAGCAAACTGTGGTGCACAGTTTACAATCAGCTGCGCTTGGGAAAGCTGAGATGCAGCGTATTCACCTATTATTTGATGAAAAAGGACTGCTGCAGGGAAAGTCAGACTGAGACAAATCTTTGGATTACCTTCTAATTCAACAAGTCCAAAAAGAAGTTGGCTCATGAAGTATTTGGCCACCAAATCAGCATCTTTTTAAAGTTTTAAATGAGCAGCAACAGAGCTGGAGCACTGACACAGACGCCATAGAAAAGTTACATAATTGCCTCGTTGAAGTCTGGAATTGACTTTTTAGCTTCAAGTCCTAAAAGTCATTTAGAAATCACACCTGAAAAAAGATCTGAAGAAGAAGCAGAAAACAAAACATATTACTGTGAAACAAGGCCAAGTCATTTCTAAAGTCCTTTTTGCACTGAAGGGTCTGGCCTGGCCCAGCCCAGTTCTGTTCGACCTGGTCATACTGGTCCTATAGCCCTGGTCGTTTTGCATTAAGCGGGATCGTCACGTAAATCGAATTCTTGCTAAAGCTGCCGAGCGGATCTCCACAGCGACCTCAGAATATTTTCCCTCTTGGTTCTCCCGTCCCACTCTTTCTGAATGCCCTCATGAGCGAGGAAGCTAAGGGAAACATTTACCTCAGCTTTACATTTAACGGAAAAAAAAAAAAAACTCATCTGAATGTCGTCTCTGAGCTGGACTCCCAGCCAGCTGAACTACCGCTGCTGCTGGTAGGATTTCCCCGCCAAGTGCGGAAATCCCCTCGTTCACAGCCTTGTCGACTTCTGATCGGTTCAATTGGAGAAATGTTATTTATCCAAGGGTGTAACTTTGTGTTGGTGGGGACAGAGGAGCGGGGAGGGGGAAAATTAGGGTGCTGATGCACCCCCAGGCACTGGAAGGTCTTTTCTTTTCTAGTGCTAAGAATAAAGCCAAAACATACATGTCAAAGCCAGACAGTCTTATTCAATAAAGTATGATATAAGTGTCTTTAATATAGCAAATAATAAAGATGCAAAACCTCTTTTGGGTCTGGTTGGGGCAGTTGGTGAATAGAGTGACTATCGATATCACTGCATTCTATAAAATGTGGCTTAAAGATGAGATGCTGATGTTTGGATAGCATTATAATAACTTGATGTAAAGCTCAAAACAGTCAATTATCCTTCAACAGGACCACAAACACAGACGGGCAGCGTTGAGGAAAACATGGAACACACACTCATACCTTTTCTTCTGTGCTGCCTCTGGATTCTGCTTTTTCACAGCGAGCTCTGGAGGACCAAGATGGCGGAAACGACGCTTGCGACAGGGAGCAACATCGGTGATGTCGCGGAGATTCAAAGGGCTCGGAGTAGCAGAATCTGAGGAGAGAGTGATACGAGGCATAAAACATGTCAAAAGAAACTTCATTGATTACCTACAACGTATGAGGTTTAAAGATTATGAATAAGCTTACATGTTGAATATTAGTAATGATTAGCACTATAGCACCATCAAATGGAATAAAACCCTCAGAAGCCCCATATAAAACAAACTCTGATCCCCCTATGAATTCCTATACATTTTAATCAGAAGGAGAATGAACTTCTTCAAAAGTCTGAGTTCCAGCAGTTTGCATCACTGAGTCATGGCCCCATCACCAGTGTTCCTTCCCTGGCTCACTATTGACAAAGATTGGGAACACCGTACAAGAGCTGCAGTTTTGGAGAAGCTCTGATTCATTTGCCTACTTATCATGAGCTGACTCTGCAATGCTTGCACTGGCAACATTTTTTTTTTATTAGATTTTCCACATAACAATGAGCAACATGCATAGACATTCAGGTCACACTTGAGACAGTACTTTGGAGTGTAAGCATAAACTAATACATGACAAGACAAGAACCAAGAATAAAACAAAGCACATCAACAGAACCCTCCAATCATTTCCATAAGTACTTGAATAGAAAGTAGATGACTAAAAAATAAACAAACAGAGGTAACAGAAAGTAAAAAAAAACTATAAATTAGACAGAAAACAACCAAAACGGGGCACCTAAATGGCTTAATGTAGTCTGTGCTACTAAAATTGTTATAAGACTTAGTAAAAGGGTATATGTCAATACAACTGGGAAGTGAGGGGGAGCAGCACTCATGGGGTCACATCAAGTGACAAGGACATAATATGGGCCAAAAATGGTGACCAGCTTCTTACTATAGAAACAGTTTATTTTTAGGGTTCAGTTCTTTGCTGCATGCCTTCTCACTTGAAAATGTGATTACAGAGCCTCTGAGAGTATGCCTAATTTATTCCAGTTTCATGAACGAAAGGCAGCATTTTTTTTTTAACAAAAATCCACCTGTTAGTGGTCACCCAGCTTAAAATCAAATTAAATGAAAGCAAAAGTCTTTTTTCTCCTGGTTATTACTGGGTGTGAATATCAGAGTACACAAAATTTTACCTACTCTGATCTGTGCTCATTTTTTCCCTTGACAGCAGTTTCTACACAAAACAGACTCATTTTCAGACAAAACAAAACCTAACATTTCCTAACACTTCCTTTATCCCTCTCCCCCTGCTGACCATGTTAGTTAGCACCATGGCAACACAAACAACATAAATCCAGCTAGCTTTTCCTCTTAAAATGGAGGAGGAAGGCCAACCGGGACCAGAAAGTTGGGAAAAAGAATTGAAGGATAAACCTAACCTGGCTGTAATGTTCTGGTATGTAAAAAAAAAATTTTTTTTAAAAACTATGAAACAGTGGGAGTTCTGCCAACTTTTGTAAAGGTTTCTCACAGCTGCCTGAAATGTAAATAATGATCTGTACATCGAATTCACTGGTGATGGCGCGCTACTTGTGTCCAGGACAACAGCGAGTAAAAGTCAGCAGGAAAACAAAACGTAATGTCAACATTAGCGGCTGCTTGTATTTAAGGCTGTGTGGGGATGTTGGTTCACAGAGGTCCAACTCGATGTATTACCCAACCTGTCAGTGACGTCATGACTGCTACAGTAATGGAGCAAAAACATTTGGCTCCAATGACAACAGCAGCCAGAAATATCACATTGAACCAAATATTACAAATCTAAAGGTTTTTCATTACGCTTCCCATGAAGGTTCTCAGTGATGTTGAAGCATATATAGCATTTTATATAGACACCAAAATATGCATCTGCTCACTTCAGATAAAACAAAAAAACGCCTAGTAGACCTAATTGAATGTTGACAAACCTACTTAAATTAACCGACCTGGAACTTAAAAACACTACAGTTGGATTCTATTAACCAGGATTACCACGTTTAGACTCATCATCAATACATCATTTGACATTTCTTTCGTACAAAATAAAGGGAATGAAAAGGTATGCTTAGAAACACATTAAAAACATCAATATTGCTGTGATTAAGACGTAAGAAACCAGATTGACTCCTATCCTCTACAACAATTCATCTCCATCTGCAGCAGAATTATATTTTTAATCTCTTAGATCCAATCTTGGCAGTAGAATTGATTTACAAACTACATTCTTATTCTGTTGGGATTTTATGTAATAGACCAACAAAAACTATCGGTTTTTGTTGGTCTATTACATAAACAACAAAAACAATCACAAATAGCAACTGTACTGTGTTGTGCTACTCACCATGTTCCGTTTAACAACTACTGGTAAGTACTATATGTAATTACATGAGGACTTTGTTCATGAGCGATGGAGACAAGTTGTCCATAAATAAACTGAAATAAACTAATTGAAACTGTTGTACAACTTGTTTTTTGAGAACAAAAACTGTTTAAAATCTGAGCAATGTCCTTCATAACCACATAACATAAATTTAAAGTTTGTCATATTCTCCATAAAGCCCTTGTAACTCCTGCAAAATCACGTTTGTGTACTTCGGAATGATAAGTATTTGATTAACAATAATCTGACCTCGAGATGACATATGAGAAGCTCCTGTTGATTTCTCTTCCTTCAGCTCTTCATCAGTACTGCCTCCATATTCATCGTCCTCGCTGTTGTGACCTGCTGTTTGATCAGATTTTGCAGAATCTTTGTTTTTCTGTTCATCAGAATTCCTACAAGAAAAACAACAGAGTAATAAACTACTTTATTATTTATAGCTCTGTAAGATCTAACATATCAATTTTCAAACACATGCTTCTGAGAACTTTAGTCAAAAACATCAATCCAATAATTCTTTTCTGCCTTCTGATGAATGGTCTGGATCCAAGATGGCAACACTACAAAGTCCTTCTTTTGAAATAATTACAGGGCATAAAATAACACATAAAATTGTTTTTTTTTTGTGTGCGTTATTGTTTTGAATAGGGTCGTAAAAACACGTTACAAAATTGAAATAACTGTGGAGAATGTGCATCTATGTTAATGTCTTAGATTTTCACTCAGTAGTTTCTCCCTTTTGTAAGTATATAAATTAAGGCATATATGCTATGAAAATATAATCGCCACATATGAAGAAAAACTCCAAATACATCATTTGTGTTACAAAAAAAAATCTTTGTTCCTTTTTTAGAATAGAACATTTTCTGACTTATTTCTTTTAAGAAACTTTAAGGGGTTTAAAAATAAGTCTGAGTAAAACCATTGTGTCATATATTGAAATAAAGACACCTAAAGTTTATTTTTCTTGGATGTTGCTCCAAAGAAAATATCTCTGAGAGAAATTTAATGCGAGTTTCATCAAAAAGACAATGTCTCAGCATGCAGAACTCATGGACAGCCTGGTTAATGACAGCCCGGCACCTTGTTTCCTGCAGCTTTGTGAAAGCCTCCTGCAGACTCCGAATCTTTGTTTTCTTCTCATTGAGGAGCAGAACAAACCGAGAGTAGAGCTCTGCCTTCAGGGTCTCTACACCTTCAGCGTAGTGCGTCAGCCTGAAACATACACCAACATAGGTCACATATGTGTCAGACATGGAGCAGCAACTTAACACTACTGCTATCCATCTGTGACAGAGACAGAGGGCACAGAGGAATTTCACCTTAGAGAAAGACAGGTTAGTTAGATTTTTATAAGTACTACTTAAGTGGTACTGATATATCATCAACCTTACTAATGAGAAAGCACATCATATATTAGAGAAGTGTGGACATTCAATTACTGTGTCATTGTAATCTCAAGTTGTTCAACAGTTGTAAAACAGTCTTAGTGCATGGTTTGCAGATTTATAAGAAGTAGTTGCCATGCCCCAAGAATATTAAAATAACATCCCCAAGACTTTATACGAGTCAATAAATTATAAACTGGATCAGCTATAATAAGTGGAGAGCAGCCATTTAATGTGTCAGGTCTGGGGAAGCAAGCTGGCTGCTGACTACTCAGTCTGGTTAGTCCATAGAAGGATTAACCACATCTGGGATGGAACACTCAGATATGGGCCGTTAGAAATCCACAATGGTCTTCTCCAATAAACCAGCCTGGATTTATCAGAAGAGGGTAATATTCTCCAGATTTATAGACCTTCTTACGCCAGGGTGAGAAGGTCCATAAATCTCAGCCTATGATCCAGTGTTAACCTCACAGATGTGGGCAGTTAGTTAGCTGGGAGAGGCTTAGCACTTCAAATAAAAAATAGTGTTGACCTCTCAGTGAAGGGATTTAGAGGTTCAGCAACACAAAACAAGGATGTCACCAGGACACGTTACTATGAAATCTAAACTGCTGCCTAGATATTGAGCTATCATGAGTCTGTTCACAGCAACAGTGTCTTCAGTCAGAGGCCTCAACATTAAGAAATGTTGCAAGACAGACTGCTATCTGAGATACTTCTTCCCCACAGTATCACCAATAATTGATGACCCTTTGATTATACTTGGATGGATGGATGGATGGATGGATGGATGGATGGATGGATGGATGGATGGATGGATGGATGGATGGATGGATGGATGGATGGATGGATGGATGGATGGATGGATGGATGGATGGATGGATGGATGGATGGATGGATGGATGGATGGATGGATGGATGGATGGATGGATGGATGGATGGATGGATGGATGGATATGAGTTACAACAACATTCCTTTGGGATGTTGTTCAAGTGAAACCAAAATAAAAATAGCAATACATTGCTTGTGAAAATGGGACGTTGGCAAACGCAAAAGTTCATTGGTTATAACTGTAGATTTAAAGAATAAGACCGCTATTCTCTGTCTTATTGTTTAAGACAAAGGTAAATCTACTTGGAAATATTTTACAACAATGATCTGCTGCATTAGCTAATATGCATGCTGATGCAGCTTTCAGACTTTTAGTTTCCAAACTCTTAATCCAAACATATGGAGTAGGATCAGGTTTAAGCTGTCTAACCTCTCCTGTACAGATTCTAATGGGTTTTGTTGCTAACAATGAATCATATTTTCTTACACTGATCATGAGCTTTAAATGAAAAGCTGAAACTTTGTCAGGTCAATGCTGTGTTGCCAAAGAAGCATAATTTCTTTAAACATTTTGAAGAACAACTTTGGATACAATGAATATTAAACATTAGCTGAACACCATGACAGTCATCACGAATAAGCTAAAAAAAAAAAAAGCTTTTGAATTTTAAAAGTTTGTTGATTTTTTCTTGGGCTCTACTGATACTAATTTGGAATTTATCCAACATGCCCGCCAACTTCAGCCTTCCAGGAGCAGAACTTATCTGTCTGCAGTGTTTTATATGCACCAAGTGTGTGTTTACTTTTCAGTGATGTATTGGTGTTCCTGCATCAGCCTCTGGTTCTCCTCCTTCAGTTTGTGGTTGTGTTGCTGCAGTGTGTTTCCTCGCTGCAGTGTGTGTATCAGCACCTCTCTCACTGCCTCAGCTGGCTCCTCTACGGCTTCTAGCAAGACGGAGCCAAGTTTGAACTGAGGGAAACAAATTTCATACCATTTAGTTTATTTTGTTTGTAAGGAAGTCAATAAGTCTTATTTCCATTCACAAAGATCTGTTTTTAAATACATGAGTATCAGAGTAAATTCAAAAGACACTTTTATTTTCTGACATTCAAAACCTGCCAATGCATGCTTCTCTAGTCTGTAGTATTTTGTCAATTCACAGACTAGACAGAAAGAAAGCTGACTTCTTTCCTTTCTCCAACCTTAAATTAAATTGAAAACCATTAACTGGCCACCTAATTAGATTAAAATGGTGTGAAATAATTTCACACCATTTGCTTTTAGTTTGATAACAGCCGAGATCAATTAGAACAGAAATTATGGCCCAAATTCCTAACTGTACCTGCTCTCACAGCACAAAATAAGATGATTGTATTGTGGTTATCTGCTTGTACTTTGTTCAGTAGTTCGATATACTGGTTGATCTACTTTACAAGTTATTTTCTTGTCATGATGATCTTCTTATTATTAGCAGATAAAAGCCACACTTGTATAGTGGTGTGGTAATAGTGACAGGTGTCTGTGCAGCAGCCAACTTAAAACCGATAAACAGACATTTCTGTCAGATCCACTGACCATTTTGCAATCAAGTTAAAAGATAAAACGGAAAACAAATGATGGTTGTAATTATTAATGTTTGCCTGAATGCAGTAAATCGATTTTGATGCAAATGAATAAAGAATTCCTTTTTAGTATCAATTATTTTGATGTTTTGGTATAACATCCTGATCAGGATTAGTACTCTAGAATATAGGGGGAAAAATAAAAATAAACCACAAGATTTAGTAACCCTGAAATACATTTTGCCGCGTGAAAAAGTACGGGTATTTTCAACATATATCTTGAATAACACAATAAATCTGCCGTCTTGTTGACAAGTAACATTCACTGATCATGAAACCTTTTCTCAATGTTACAAGTATAGTTTTTGTGACTGTACAACACTCACAAATTTAGCAATGGCTAGATTTTAGTAAAAATTGTGATGACAATATCAGTGGCTTATTCTTATTTAGTTCTTTCCTCCTTCAGTGCTTCCATCACTCTGTGATCTTTAGCATTTTGGGAAATATCATTTGTGTCCACTGTGAGCATCTGCTGGTGTGAGACCAAATATTACTTTAACATTAAAAATGCAAGTTCATAACAATTTGATTATCCAACAATTATTGCATTCCAACCAACCCTTTGTGATATAAATATTGCATACACCAATGTTGCGACGACAATTTAGCCAATATATTTTTTAGACCTAATTAGCATCACAATATTCAGCAATAATACTGAAAATACATAATTTGCAGCTATAATTGCAGCCCTAGTTGTTTGAAGCAGAAATAATTCTTACTTTGAATATACAGAGTTATTACAGAGATGTCTATGCTTGTTACATGAAAGTGACCGTAATAAAAATGCAAGAAAACAACTCAAGGTAGATATGACATAGAATTTAGGGTCGATCAAATTATTTTAAAGGACAAATAATATCTGAAGGCAAAGCTCATAAGTTTGAATTTTTAGGGGTTAGAAATCTGCCTAACTCACAAATGATTGGGAAGAGAAAATAAAGAAAGAGTAAGCACCAAGGATGAAGGAAGGGAGGCTAGAATGGGATTTTTCCAAAGTACTCCTCAGAAGGAAAGTCCTCAGACTACTTACATAACTTAAAGACACATGAGAGACCATCTTTTTTGTTTGTGTTTTAGAGAAAGGAAAATCTCACCTGACTATAAACTTCTGCTAAACTGTCACTTTAATCGTCTCCGTTTCTTGCGAACAGTGATTCATTTCTTCCTTTGCTGCAACACATTTCCATTCTATCACAACATCAAGGACTTTTTGGAGTTTCAGCATAAAGGAGGACGTATACACAGCCGACCCTTAAACTGACCCTTAAACAGGACCAGCTGTTTAAGGGTCAGCTGAATTGTGAAAATGTTTTACAAACTAATACTTATGTACAGGATTTGATGAGCGGAGCAACTCTAGTAGTTAATAAGTTTTATTTATATTTGTTGAGAGAAGAAAATCATACTAAACCAAGACTATTGAAAATTACATCAAATAATCAGTTTTTCCGTCAAACAATAAGACATTACGTTAATCTGTCAAATAGATTTCCTGTTAAGGCTGCACTATGTAATTTTGTTCAACTTTTCTTTATTTGTGAATACACAACATGCTTAAAAAGTAAGCAGCGCTCACGGATATGTCCTTCTGCATCTTCTCATATGTCAGAGTCACAGTGCAGCCACTGGTGGGTGGGTGTGGCTTCAAGGTGAAGCAGTAGGAGTCAGAGGGTTCTGGCTCTGTTAGAGCCTGCTGGAGGTCCTGGATGTACTTCTCCTTCACCATCTCCAGTTCCTCTGCCTCTTCATCCACCACCGCCTCACTCACTGCACACATACCAAACACATATCAATGTTATTAATGGTATAAAATGGTTACCTGCATATAAAATGTTTTTCCTTGTATAACCTTCCTTCATACAGTCAGACAATAAGTGCAGCCTGTAGAACAATCTTTAACAGCCACTGTACTCAGTTATTGTTTTCTGTATGACTTTATGTATGAAGAATTTTGGCTCACTCTTCTTTGCAATGTTGCTTCAGTGAATTGAGGTTTGCGCACATTATTTCCTGCACAGCTCCCTTAAGGTTCCTTCCAAAGCATTCCAAAAAAGCTCAAATCTGGACTTACTCTGTGATTTTGCAACACCTTTATTCCTTCTTTTTGACATTCTGCTGCAGACTGGCCGCTGGGGGTGGGATCATTATCCTGATCATAACTCAGCTTCTCCCCACATCCTGCTTCTGGATAGATAGCTTCACATTTAACTAGAGTATTTCATAATAAATGCATTCTTGACAAACACGCTTCATCGTACAGTGTTATGATGGTTTCATCTGCCAGAGGAAATTCTCAAAGAAAACCTAAATTTCATTTAGATGAAACATTATACATCTAAACCTTGAGCTGCTTATTGTTTTGAAGAGAAAGGTTTTCTCCTGGCAATCCTTCCCAACATGCCATAATTCTTCAGGTTTGTTCCTGTTTTAGGGTGTAGAACATATAACATGCTAAGTGAGGCCTGAAGAATCAGTGAGTATTGTATTAACACACACATTTGTGCTCAAAACCGACAAGCTGCCAACAATTCTATTTTTATAGAGCTTTTCACACCACTAATGATCAATTATTAGTCCTTTAAATAGCAGAATGAGGAACCTATGATTCCTTTAATTTATTGCTGCTACACCAACTCCAATCGTTTACTTTGTTTTTATTGGCACAGAGAACTTAGTCATCTGAGACTTCCAGAGCTGGTAAAGGTCATGAAAATACATTAAATTAATTCTTAAAGGCCGAACCTTTAAGACTGGAGGAGACTCGACTAGCACCTGTAAAACCACCAGGACCGACATGATCTTTACAAAGACCTCCAGGAAATCACTGGGAATCCCTTACAACTGACCCTCCAATTTTTCCCAATGGAGGCAGTGATGTTCAAGAGAAACACAGGTGAAGTGGGAATAGTGTGTACAGTTAAATAACTTTAGCAAAAAAAAAAAGAAATCGGTTGTTTAACATCTTCAGAACATTATCATCAAATTACCCTTTCCTCTCCATGCCTTCTGTCCATCTGTCAAAAGCAACTTGAAGCCGAAGCCTAATCCACGCCCGTCCCAGTCCACTCGTAGAAAGTAGGAGAAGTCAGTCTGAGAGAAGAGTTGGATTTCACGCACTGATGTGTTCATCTCTGAAGAAACACAAAGAAATGCATAAAGAGGTCAACCTACAGCATAGTACTCTGATGCAACTTATTGTAAAGAAGAAGTAGGTGCTCCAACTTTTTAGGAAAAAAGTAAATAAGTAAATTCATTTAGGAAATAAGTAAATAAATAAATACTATTAGAACCTCCAAAATCGCCCTAAAACTGACTGCCCAGTTCCAAAATTCTAAATCATATTTTAAGCATGAATAAATTTTCCACAATATATTTTTTATTATTATTATCTTACAATGTTTATTTTCACATATGGTGGAAATATCACTTGCTGTCACTGGGAGCAATATTAGGTTTTTCTCTCTTCTCAAAAGCCATCAACATGGATGTGGAATAATAGTAGTTAATGATCAACAAGATCATGTTACCTGTAAAGACTGAATGACATGCAGAGAATATCTTTACTGAATCATTATGCAAAATGTTGCCTCATGTCTCCACGCACATGTATTCTTCCTGACAAGTCTCCAACTTTATGTCTTTTCTTAAAAAAAAAAAAAACAGCAATAATTACTGTTGAATTTGCCATTACAATAATAATCTACCATCATCCCTGTCTGCATAGTGGCACAAGTTTTAGCTTTGCTGCCTTTCAACAATTTTGCAGTAACTTTTTTTCTGAAATCACTTTGTTCTTAATTTTCTTCTAGACAGTATAAAAACAAGCTCATGATGGTTTATAAGAAGATTACAGTTATTCATCTGAGCTAAAAAAAAAAAATGAACAGAAATGCATGCATGGTCCAAGTGGCACTTATACATGGACTTACAGAAGTATGTCCAGCCTTTTTAGCTTTTTCAGGTCATGAAAAGAAGCTGCACCTTTGAACTATTTTGTCCCATCATTCTGCATCCAAGTAATACTGAAAGAAAGGGGACGAGGGTGCATTCTGTCAGAGCTATTAGCTGCAAAGTCGTATAAATAAAATGCAATAAGTGTTTTTGTTCAAGACAATTTCACCTTCCTGGTTTTGATCATCGTCTTTTTACTATTACTGCAGATATTTGACTGTGCAATAAGAGCTTAAAAGTCAAACAAAACAAGAAAAAAAATCTGCCAGTAAAGAGTGACTGCAATTACAAGCATTACCTAAATACATTCTTCTGGCAAAAAATATTTTCTGTTGGAAACTCTAAGATACAACTTAATAAAATGGAGTCAGCTGGAGAAACCAACATAATGCTTTTCAATGTCATATTACAAATCTGCTCATTAGAGAATGACGCCAGGAGGCACTGACTATGACGCCATGACATATTCCATGAAAATGTACTGTATTTTAGATGCAGTGAAAAAAAAAATCTAAGTCTACCCTCCCAATATGGCGGCGTCTTTGACGTACAAAAGTGTGTGTTGTCATTCTTTTGCCTATTAATTGTTCCAGTTGAAAACCAAAATGACGGTAAACCCCTCCTGACACATAAAATGTTATGACTGAAAGATGACTTCGTTAGTATCCAGCCTGTACCATATTAAGCTGCAGAAATGGAGGGGTTAGCAGTTAGCTGGTCAGAGCTAGCAGACCGTGGAGCTGTTTGTAAACACAGAGCGGCTCGCGCTAACAAGTCAACAGAAGCGCGAGGAAAAAGCTCGTTACCGCTTCGAAAACAACACATGAGTTCTTGTCTTACCGCAACAGAACAGTGACGGTCTGGCGGCTGAGTTTAGAAGAAACCCGGATGTTTCACTTGTTTGAAACAACCGCTGACTGAAAACGTGAAGCCAGTGTCACTGGAGGCCACACAAGACGAGGCTTATATTGCGTCATCAATAAGCGACAAAATGGAATAATGTAATATACGTTTTTCAGTTTGAAAAAAATGCAGACGAAAGACAAAAAAGCCTTCAAATGGGCGAGCGACGTCTGGGACAAGATCCCTGTGATAATCACCTGGGTTCTCCACTTTATGAACTGCTGACATTCATACTGTCATGACGTCAAAGACAGAGCTTGATTTGCAGGAGAATGGTGAAATACATCATTTCAATGAATAGAAGGAATCAGACCAAATCTTGAGCAGATATCCCGAGGCTCCAGAAGACATCCTAATTGTCAAATGCAGATTATACCTTATAAAGCCGGACATTTTGACTCATTCATTGTTTGTCATAGATACTCTTATGTTGACGTTAGCAGTACTTTATTATTTTAATCTGAAAACACTTACACTGCATTACTTCTATGTTTCTTTTTAATAAGCTGGAAATCAACACGGGGCCAAAGCCCTGCTAATGGAGCCACACTAGCCAGAATTTTTGACTGTATTGTGGATTATTTATCTAATTTTTTTCTCGTCCATTTATGATAGGAACACTGCTCTTCCTTAGTGCTATGATTATGATTTGGGCACCAACAGGTTTATCAGGAGGCAGCATGAAAGCAAGACAAGGCAGTTTTATTTATGATTCTGTTACAATAGCGCATCTCAGCCAAAGGCAATTCCAAGTGCTGGTACATAAAGATAAAAACAACACACAAGGTACGAAGTTACACATCAAACCATCAAGATAATAATAACTTAATTAAAAATAAGAGTTAAGATTGGGCAGAAGCAAATAGAAATGTTTCTAAACTAGTTTTTTTTTTTTTTTTTTTTAATGAATCTTACGACGGCAACCTACCTACAGTCAACTGGAAGCTTATTCTAGATTTTTGCTTCATAGTAACTAATAGTTGCTTTATTTGAACATTTCTAATATTGCATCCAAGCTGCCTGATGTGAAGTTCCTGCTGGTGATGTTGCCATGACTCTGATCCAATAAATTTGTGTTGCTCTAAATTAAGTGTTCAGAGAGAGAACGATTTTTGGCTAAAGTGTAGAGTAACTTGGCAAAAAGCAGATTAATGAGTGAGCAGTTTTGACAATATTTTTTCTTCAACATTTTGTCTGTTTGCTGAGCTCAAATCACTGTCCTCCAGTAATCCTTTCATTTCCTCCTCAGCTCCTGAATCCATTAGATTGTTTCTTTAGTCTCTGAGTAAGGAGACTGAAACAACAGAGAGGAGCAGTTAGATCTGGAGGACTAGTAATAGTTTTCTTTTTTGTCTTTGCTCAAAATATTCTCTGTCTTATATTTAATGTGGCTATGAAGAGACAAGCAACCATAGATATGCTCTCTATCCAGATTCTCAGGTTTCGTCCAGTTTCAGCAGGTTCCTCACTTACCTTGATTTTCTTTTCTGTCGTCATCAAATGTTTCTTTATTTTCCAGGCAAATTTCTACAAATATCTCATCTCTGAGATTCGTTGAGGGATTTTCCATTGCCATTGTCTCAGCCTTTCAGCTAAGTGATGGACAGTAATGGAGTATTTACATGATTACTGTACTTAAGTACGTTTTTTGACTACCTTTTCTTTACTTGAATATTTATTTTTGGGGAACTTATGCCAGTGAGCATGTTGCCAATGACAGCAGATGAACGGTTGTTGTGGAATGGTGAATTGTTTCTCTGCCATTAGCACATTGAGCAGCATTGATTAGCAGCACTAAGCCCCACTCCCGGCTCTGATTGGTTGTTTTTGAACAGATGCAATAGTAACCATCTAACATTATATCGTCACAACATGGTGATAGTTTTAACAAATATGTAAAGAACATATTTTCTAAAAGTTACATACTGCAGCTTTAAGAAGTGTGTGTGAATGAGAGAGACACATGGAGCGGACAGAGTGATTTGTGACAGGATGGTTGTAAAAGTGAAGCACATTGTAAGACTGAAAAAGGATGTTGAATATCGTCACCTTCCTTAAAACAATGGACTATATCTTTTTTTGCCAAAAGGGATTTTTTATATATATATTTCTTTGCCCATATCATCTTTTGGGGGGAAAAAAATGTGATGATTCTTTTTTTATTGCTAAACCTCTTTTGGCATAAAATGACTTAGATCATTATTTTAGGAAGGTGATGGGAGCTGCCAAGGAGAAGGGAAAGAGGAAGGCCACAGATAGTTCATGGATATGGAGGACAGTGTTAGGGTGAGATGAAGGCAGATCATCTACTGTGAAAAAGAACATTTTAAAAAATGTTACATTTTTACCAAAATAAAAGCAAAGCAGGACAATTTATCTTTAGGTATCTTTAATATTTTAGCTTGTACAATAACTTTTAGATATTCTCATAATGAACAAGACTTTTCTAAGACATGGTTGTTCTAAAATGTGTTTATTGATTAAATTGTAACAATCCAAATCCAAAATTGGCATCTGAGGTCTTATTTTTAAATTCTCATTATACGATTGTAAGAAACAAACAAAACAAACAAAAAAAATCTGCGTCACTTAATGGCAAGAAAACCAAAGAGCTGAACAGACGACAGAGATTTATTTTCTCCAGCAGTCTCTACACAGATCCACACGGCGCCTTTGCTTTCTGACCTCTTCTCCTGCGTCATTTGCTGTACCTCACTTTCATCTCTCACTCTGTTCCACTCAGGGATCCTTCCTTCCGCCCTGCATCTAATTGCTTAAGGCTCACATTTGTGCATGACTGTGAGCATGAGTCGAGCTCTTCAGGCTAGATACTGCAGTAATGACTTCCAGCTCAGTCTTTAGGTAATGAGCATTTCCTGGTAGCTGTCGCTGGAGGACGATTTACAAAAAATACACTGACTTTCTGTGGACTAGCTGGGGCTCTGTTTTGGAATCTGAATTACATTACTGTTATAAAAATAAAGCATCCTCTGTCAGTCCTATGTGAAGGTCCTCCATTGTACAATGAAGGTCAGCTTTCCTGTTTGTTTGTTTTTTTTTACAAATAGGTTACAGTTTCACCTGAACAAATAAAAACACAACAAGCTCTGATTAACTGAGTTGCCCATTATATTTTTCGCAGGCTGAGACGTTTGTCTTGGATTTATGGAGAAGAGATCGACGCACCTAACTGGAGAGACCCTTTAGTAATTTTGCTACAAAGCCAGCAAGAACGGTGGTTACAACTGACCTTTAACCTCGTCTTTCACCAGCAACTGTCCTTTCACAAGGAAGGCAGTTTAAACACTTTCCATAAATGGAATCAGTGAAGTTTGTTAGGCTGGGCATACGTCCAGTAGCAATTGCACCAGAGAAGCCATAGATTACAAAGACTGCAGCCTTGGAAAATGGATGAGATTTGGGGCATTTCCTGCTCCGTGGATCTCAGTGAGCTGTTTGCAGGAGAGCCAACAGTCCTGAAATGATCCTGCTTGACGGGATTATAAAACATGGGGTGGTCCGCATCCAAGTCAAAGAAAGCAGCAACGTATTTCAATGCAAACTCTCTAAAACACTGTTATGTTCAGCAAGAGCAGCATTAAAGTAGCACTGATTTTGACTCAAAACAGTGAGTTTACCTTCTATAAAAAGAAAACCTTATAGATAGGAAGAGCCTGGGGCATAGTAGCATAAAGGACTAGGGATATTCCCATTGGGTCAATGGGTAAGTGGGCCAGTGTTTATTATGTGTTAGTAGGCCAGTGTATTAGTGGGGCAGTGTATCAGAAGGCCAGTATGTTAGAGGGCACTCTCCCTGACGTCACGCAGCACACTCTTGTTTTGTAGCACCACAATGCCTGAAACTCTGTAATATTAAAAGCCTTCTCTATCTCTCCTTTGCTCAAGTCAGGCAGGTCCCAGCGCACAGTGGAATTCAGCAGAGAGATGCACAGTGCGGTGGCTCTAGCTTAAATATGATTTAGGGGATTTTCACATCACCAGAACATCACCTCCACTAGCTACAGATTTGGTGGAATCTGGGAGAACGGGCAAAGTTTAATTGGACCCACCGTACGTAGTCTAAAATTAATCACAGAAAACTGATTATTTGCTGAGATCAATTCATGAACAAACCAAGATCAAACATAATTGATTAAGCTTACAGCATCAGATTGTCGCTATTGAAACACAACAGTTAAACAAAGGAGATTAGTGTTTGCACTTTTACGATGTAAAATCCCTAATTAAATCTTTTTCATTATTTATTTCTGAAACTTAAATAAAATTTAAAGGAATCGTCATTGTTGATAAACAAATGTTAAATTTTTGGATCTGTAGTCTGGGTTATGATTCAAGAATAAAAGAGAGGGGAAAAGTAAATATGTCCACATTAGTCATAAAGATGTAGTAGCAAAGACAATATACAAAACATAAAGTAAAGAGAATATAACTGAATTGTTTCTGGGCTGCTTTATGGAAATCAAAATATGGTCACCTTAATAAAAAAAAGTCTCACTGCTCATCAATAGTTAAGTGACTCGCAGTGAGTAGAGTAAGCAGACATTTTGCACAAGAACAGCAGTAATTTATAGTGACATTAAGTACCACTAATAAGTAGGATACTGTGAAACTATTTTGTAAAAGCATATTTTTTGCATAGCTAGTTACAACCCACCTTTCCAATCAACATGTGACTGCCATGACAACATAGATCAAATAAGTAAAACTTGAAGTCCCAGCAATATTCACGAACAAAATCTTGCAAAATGTGGTCCTGGGATATTTAGCTCAAGAGGGGAGAGAGATTTAATGAGGTTAAAACAAGTGAATATTTATTATTATTATTATTATTATTATTATTATTATTATTATTATTATTATTATTATTATTATTATTATTATTATTATTATTATTATTATTATTATTATTATTATTATTATCAGACCAGCAAACTTGTACCTGTGTGTGCATCTGTTTGATATTCTAAACGTGTACCTGTGTGTGCATCTGTTTGATATTCTAAATAAACTGATGTAAGTCGTTATTTTTAGAAAGTCGGTTCTATGTTTATATTCATAAGAATCTGGGTTCATTTTGGTAAACCGAGTCCCAACTTCTGCTACCAGGTGGTGGCGGTATCGGCCTAACCACACCTGGAAAAGGAGGAAGAAGAAGAAGAAGACGGGGCTCTCGCTATAAGCTACACGGGCTCATATCGTCTGAAGGTAACAACGTTTGGTTCTCCTGTGATTCTCAGTGTCTTTACAGCCTAATTTCGACCACATCTTCTTATTTTCCTGGAGATTTTATATCAGAGGCTTTTTCCGGTGGCGCAGCTGGCATGTGCTGAAAACACACAGAACTTGTTGGGTTTATTTTCTGCCCACGTTGCTTTCACTAAAGCTAATGGCCAAAGCTGTTCTGTGAAGCTTATCGAATCCTCTTCAGACAGCGACTCTTCCACTTTTTCAGTCCGTTTCGGTGTTTGAATGGAACTCAGCATTTAATTGAAAGAAAAACAAACTACATCCCAAGATCAAGTTTGGATGTAGGCCTACACATGCTGCATTCATACTGTGTTTATTCATCATTTGCCTGTTTTCCATCCAGTTAGTCCTGGAAAAAGAACAATTTATATATATATATACAGATATAGATCTATTTATATATATATAAATATATATATATCTAGATCTATATAAATAGATATGTACAAACATGTGAAAACATTGTATTGTTGTTTTGATGTCATTTTTAAGTGTTATAATGCTGATGGCATAGTAAAGCAAGAACACATTCTCAGAGATCAATACATTTTAAATTCTAATGAACATTTAGCACTGGAACAGGAAGACATTTTAAATATTAAAAATAAATAAATACAACGACAAAAATAAGAATTATAATAAATTATCAAGTATCTGCAAACAAATTTCTCCTTCATAAAAAAGTGGGTGGTTGAAATCAAAGCACCAGACTGAAGGCCTGTTATCCAGTTTTTGGTAGAAAAACCATAAATATTGCAAATTGAAATTATTCTCATGTGTCATGCAATTAATTGGCTTATTGTGACAGGCCTACATATTGTTAGCTTTCTAAAATAATAGCCTAGGTAAATCACAACCTCTTATTTTAGCCAAAGGATGATTCAGGGGGAAAGGAAAAAGTCAGTGTTGGCAAAATTGACTTTTGCCATTATTTTAGGAAGCTGACAATGTAAAGTCGTTGATCAGTTTTTCATGAGGTTAAAAGGTTTTCCTGCTGTTTCTAGGCCTTCCTTTGAAGTCATGACGAGGTGGGCGAGAGCCAACAATGTCCACAAACACAAACCGGCCGAGGCGACTCCCTGGAATCAGCTCAGATCAGCCGGAAGACAAAAAGATGGAGGTGTGCCTGCTGGGCCATCATGGTCAGATCAGACGGACCCTCTGAGAAAGACCTACGCTTCTGCTGAGAGGAAGCCCAACCGCAAGAAGAAAGAGTACACCAGCGAGGACGTGAACGGGTTCCTGGAGTACCTGAAGCAGAGCGGTCAGGACAGCGGCAGGGAGGCGGAGGCGGAGCTCAAGGAGACGGTGGAGGTGGCCCTGAAGAAAGACAGGAGGAGGGAAGACAGGAGGGTGAAGAGGCAGAAGGACAAGAAGAGTAAGATGGTGAGCTCTGCTGAAACTGAGCCAGGAGACGTGTAAATGTTGGCGTACTCGCTTCTTGTTGCTTGGATTTTAGTAGTTCATCATTGTGAAGCGGAATGATGAACTACTCAAATCAAGCGTGACATGCGTTTGTATTAAGTTCATTCTTGAAGCAGTGCTCTGATCGACCTCTAGGCCTGTCACAATGACAAATGTAGCTGGGCAATACATTGTCCCTGAAGTTATCGCAATAAACAATAATATTATTGTTTTGAGAGCATTTTCAAGTATCATAATGGTAATGGCATAATAATGCAATACCATATTCTTAAACTTTAAATTCTGATGAACATTTAACAAGAGAACTAGAGGACATTTGAAATACCAAAAATAAATTAACAAAATAACAAAAAGAAATAAGATGACGGGTGAAACAAAACTGTCTATCAAAACACTCCCTCCCTTCTCCTCTCTCTCTCTCCTCCTGTCTCTCTCTCTCTCTCTCTCTCTCTCCAGGTGTGCTTTAACTGCAGGAAGCCAGGTCACGGTTTGGCCGACTGTCCAGAAGCCGACAGAGACGAGGAAATGGGACGCGGCATCTGCTTCCGCTGCGGCTCCACGGAGCACGAGATCCAGAAGTGCCGAGCCAAAGTGGACCCAGCACTGGGTGAGGTCTCCCCCCCCCCCCCACCCCCATCCCCCACACCTTCACCAAGCCTGACGACACGTCTGCATGTTCAGCTGTTGTAATTGTTCCTCTCTCCTTCAGGTGAATATCCGTATGCGAAATGCTTCATCTGCAGTCAGACTGGTCACCTGTCGCGCTCCTGCCCTGACAATCCCAAAGGGCTCTATGCTCAAGGTACACACAAACACATGGAAATACCCTCTCTGGTTCCTGCTGGCTGTTCTACATATCGAGACGTGACCGACAGGATCATTGTGTTTGCAGGCGGCTGCTGTCGTGTTTGTGGTTCTGTGGAGCATTTTCAGAAGGATTGTCCAGAGCACCAGACAGCAAGTGAGTTTCAAACTTCTGATTGTTGAAAACAAAATTGTTTCCATGAAATGAGACACATAATTCAAATCAAATATGGATAAGTTTGTTAAAAAACAGTAACAACACAATAAGTAGTTAAAAAACAACATGTCCGCCATCACCTGCCTCCCACTTCTTGTTATTTTCTTCATGATTTGGCCCAATGCCAACATCAGGTTGTTGATCATGTGAAACAATGTTTCTGCTTCAGTGTTGCCAAATAAGCAAAGAACCTCCTAAACCTTTTTTCATATAAACAAGTTTTTTCAAAATGTCCATGCTAAAGAAAATTAATGTTTGAAATGTCAAGGTGCTCTATTACATGGTAAATGGAAATGGCGCAATGTTGCTTTCCTCTGACAACAGTGTTCTCAGGACAAACTGACCAAATGCCTTCCTGGATTCTGGGCTGTTATGACATGTTGATGATCAATTATTTTGTATTTTTATTTTTTTGCTTTTCTTTAGAAGTACTGACCCAAAGTCATTTGCACAATCATCTAACAATGTGAGCTTCCATTAAATCAAATGGAGAAACTCTGCAGTTTGTGAAACATTGAATTTAGTCCATAAATCATCGGGTCACGACCTCAAGGATCGGCGCCAGTTTTGACTCGTCTCATGTTTTACAATCTGTGATTTTGCACAGAGTCAGTTCTAGAGAATCAGCTGCCGTGATGCCACATTATGTAATAACATCACTACAAATGTGGCAGAAAGTATAGCTAAATGTATTCAAAGGTATTATTAAAATGTTATTTATAAAGTGGCAATTCACAACAAATGTCGTCTCCAGGGACATTTTCTACCAATTATTACAAAAATCTTTTTTTTTAATAGAAATGATAATGTCATACTGTGACACATATGTAATGAACAATCACAAAGTGTTTGTGTTCATCCTAATTATTATTTTTCTAAGAGTGATCATGTTGTAGATCCTGTTCGCTTCTTAGTTGAAATAAGTGCTGAACCTTTTCAGAACCTTTGTTATTAACATGTCGTTCAAGACAAAACGATTCAAACTGCGCTCAAGGATTTGATCACATTTCATGTTTATTTCTATGTATTGGGGTTTTAAAGACGTATTGTGACATTTTAATTCTGGTTTTATGACATTATTACATATTGTGGCATCACAACCTTTTGTCCCTGGATTGATGCCGATTTCATTGTGACAATAGGAAACTGGCTGTTTCCCATGTCTAGTTTCTTATGTTTAATGACAACGAGAGGCAGGAGAAAACCTCACCTAAACCTTTACGTTGAGTTAGAATCATGTAAGAGTCTTTTGGGGGTTTCATGTGTTTAATCCGTCACATTTATGTGTTGGTCCTTCCAGCTAACTCAGTGACTCTGGGCTGGTTGTCCAACAACATGAGCGCAGACCTGGAGGACGTTCACGTTCCAGTGAAGAAAGCCAAACCCAAGCAGGCCAAAGTGATAACCTTCTGACCCGAGAGGACGTCAGAGCCTTCAGTCTGTGGACTCTTAGGAACCGGACCAATGGGTCAAAACGTGACTCAGTCAGTGAAGTTTTGTGTGGAATGTTTCCTGCGGCGTTGGCTGACGCAGTCTGCTGGAGGTGAATCATCACTGAACGTCTAAATCCTGGCTGATGTTTCACCAAATGACGGAACTCAGGAAAGCCAGACTGTCCAACCTGAGCTGTGAACCGTTGGTGTTCATGTGTGTTTGCAGAATGTATTAATTATGGACATACGTTTTAATTCACACATCAACTGTGCAGCACTTCTATTACTGACGGAATGAATCTAGGGCTGCAATGTACAATCATATTAGTAACACATTAATCTATCAATTATTCTGATGATTACTCGGATTAAAAAAATTGCCATTTTTTACAGTTTTTTTCTTTAACCAGTGAAGCGTCTTGTATGCAATCCATTAAAAGAAAAACATTAAAAATAAATTCAAATCCTTTTCTAAATAAGAAAATATTTGATTTAACAGCAGCTGCCTAAAATGCGATTCTTTTGTGACTGAACCAGGTGAAGCTAAACCTAAACCACTTGTGGAGTTTTGGCTAAAATACATTTACAGTCACAGATGTTTCTATCTCAAATATTAAATTATTTTCTTCTTTTGTTGCCGTTTTTGCTTAATAACTCCTCTGAATGTGTTTTTTTTTTTTTTTGTTTCTCACTAAAATAACTTTTTGGAATCTGTATATTCCAGTTAACAAGTTAGTTGAGGATTATTTAAATAATCGATAAACAGAGTGTCAGATTCAGAGCGCAGCAAGAGAGCGACTGGTCTTGGTAAGTTGGACTTCACTGGGACTGGGTTGGTGGAGGACTAATCCACGCAGCAGCAAAGAAAGTCTTCCTCCGAGGACATTTTCTCCAGTAGGAGGTGGAAAGACGACAAAAGCTTTTATTTTCTTTTGTGTATCTTCACACAGCTGGCTGCAGCTTGACGTTCTCTCTGGCAGACAGTGAAACTAACCAGGCAGCTGCTGCTGGCTGCCAGCTCACTGATTACGCAATTTCTCCACGAGTTTCATCCACAGTGTGTGTGTGCGCCTTATAATAACATAGAGGACTGAGTTTAACGTCTCCTGGTTCCAATTTAACAGCAGCTGAGAGGACTTTGGACAGAAGATTGTTCTGTTCTTGTTGGGTTGCCCAATATCCCGCCTGCGACCCCCAAACTTTAATTCCATGTGTAAAACTTTGAGGGGGAGCCTTGTGGTAATATTGTCATTATTTTTGACAAGTAGAATAAAAATAGACCCTAGTAACTTCTTACGACAGTTATGCAACTTTTCTCCTCCGTGAATGGAAAAAGAAGTAAAGACGTAAGAAATGCTTCCAAACGTACCAGAAAAGAAAAAAAAAAAAGAACAAAGAGGATGTTGTGTATCAGAAACCAGTACCTTGAATCTAAATCAGACATGGAACTGGATGTTAAAAGGTGACACAAAAACCTTTTAAAATCCTATGTTTTTAGGATGTGTAAAAATGAAACCAAGCTAAATCCCTTCCAAACTCTGGCCACCTTTAACGGGCCACATGTCCAGTACAGTTCATCTGCTGCAGAGAACGACATGAAAAGTGAAAAGGTGCAACAACCTGGTTGTGTAAGTGTGAACACTCTTAAACTAAAACGTTGTTCAAGCCCTTTTTGTCTAAATTGCATTCAGGTTTTGTCAGATTTGATCAAGTTCTCCCACCCTCCCCGCCAAAGGTTCAAGACTCTTTGGACGTCTCCAGCACTCTAATAAAGATCCCACACTTTTTATATTCTGGACTCCAACAACCTCCAGAACTTTGATTTCCTTCTCATGAAGTCATTTTCTGTTCATTTTGTTATATTCATGGTTATGCTGCATATCTTAAATAAAAATTTTTTTAAAAAAACATTATTTTTTCATCTTCAACTCACTGTGGTCATTTTTACTGCTTTTGGCAAAATGTGTACAACCCTCAATATGTTTATTTTTAGTGTATTTTTGTTTTACAAGACAGTATGACCAACAAATGATTTAGACTTTAACTTGGATCTAAAATCTGAGTACGTTGTTCGTGTAGTAGCGCTGTTTCGCCACCAGAGGGCATTCACTGTCAGCTGGAAGACAGAGTCCACACAGTGGAGAGCAAGAAAAGATGCAACGAGCCAATAAAATCCATGGACGTCGCCAGACGACCTTTTTATACATAGAAAGTTCAGTATTATTATCAGAACCTGAAGTTTTTCACCAACATTCACAGATACAACTATGCAAACTTACACACAAAGATGCTTATGAAATTTTACAAATTCAGTAATGCACACACACAGGTGTTAACTATTGCCATATAAAGGATGATTATTATTATTACTATCTGCAGTAGTGTGAGACTCCACTAATTGACAATCGTAGCCAAGTCTTGTGCCGGCAAAACAAAATCGAGCGTACCTACTTGAATCTATAATAATAGGTGGAGGCCTGGGGGTCCCAGTGCTGCTGGGTTTGAACAGCTGCAGCTCCCTGCTGACTCCACTTCATTGGGAGCTTGACTGGAACACAGGACATGATGCTTCAGCTCTTAGTGGCTCTAAGTTTTGCTGCCTATGTGAAAAATGGAAAGAGGTCACCCACCCTTTAATCCTGTATTGTTGTAAATGTCTGCAGAAAGAACCACTTTGTTCCTCACTGCTTTTGAGAAATTGTAATCTCCAGTTCTCTGGGGGAGTTGGGTGTTGTGATCAATGTTTTCCTCAGTTATTCTTTATTTATGGATGGTTGATTGGGTGACTTTTTTTGTTCCTCAGTGCCTATGTTTGACATGAAGGTAGCAGAAAATGTGGCCCATGACCCAGAGACATTGGAAGGTAAGGTCACGTTGTCTGTGATTTCAGTTTCAGCTGATGGTTTGGTCAGTCTTGGCTAGAACGAAAATAAAACATTTTTCACTTTCTGCTGAGTAAGTCATGTGGTTTACCACAGATGTCTTTCCATCCAGACTGGACATTTCCAGTTTTTATTATGATATAATTCCAGCATAAAATACACTTTCAGAACCGCACAGGTTCTGAAAGGAGGTGGTAGAATGGGCCAGAACATCAGAGAGGAGTACTTGAGAAAACTCAGTGTTTTGTTTACAAATGTCTTTCATTTGTTAGAGTGCTTGCTGCCCATAAGTGCTCAAGTCCTGTCACTGATTTAATACATTTTAAATGGCAATTGAGTTGCCATTTATTTTAGAAAGGGAACGATTTTTGCTTCAGTGTCATTAAAAAAAATTCTTTAGCAGGTCAGATTTTTAGAACGCCGCTTTGTCCTCCTGACCGCATGGTGGCAGCGATGCTCCAAGAAACCGGCAGCAATGGAACAAAGCAGAGGAAGACCAGCGGCTTGTTTGTTTACATGGTTGAAGCTAATGCTAATGACGCAGCTATAGCTCCAGTTACAGTGGCTGTCTCTCTCTCTACCTGTCGCCGGTGAGCTGGACTCTGTGGCGGTCTGTGTCTCCTGGTCCAGTTTGTCCAGCGGTTGTGAATAAAGGCGGAGTTCCGGAGGGTGACAGCAGCCATGGCTCAGCAGAGAGGAGTCAACAGCCTCCAGTTCAACCAGGACCAAAGTAAGCTTCACCCTGGTCCCGCTTACTTTACTAAAAAAAAGCTTCGAGGGCTTAATTAGATTTATGTGAAAATGGTAAAAACCACCTTATTTTTGCTTAATCTACCCAGGTCGCTGTAGTTCTCCTTTGTAATCGCAAAGATGAAAAGTGTTTGCAATAATAACAGCCAAATCTTTGGGTAATGCTCTCAGGTAAATACAATATTTTGCTGAAGAAAACAAGATGTCTTCCTAAACATAATTTATTGTTCAGCAAAATGTCTTACTGTGACAGATCTACTAATTCATGTACCTAAACATTGAATTTCTGTTTTTCTACGTTTTTTTTAATGTATTGTGGATATAATCACAAATATTCTCAAACCTAAAGTGCTAACTTTAACTTAACCGTATATATGTATATAATTTTTTTATGATTATATGTTACAACTGTTATATGCAACATTAATGGACAATTCACACAATGACCATGCACAGGCTAATGTCAAACAACTTCATCACATCAAGTCAGTGTCAATGTTATGTGAAAAGTTGCCTATTTTTGACCCTCTTTACCTTCCGTAGAAGTCTGTTTGCTTTAGAATGATGTTGAGTGTTTAGAAACAGTATCAACTTCAACATTTAATGGATCCATTGTGTAAGCAGCTGACAGGAAGCTTTCAGAACTAACAAACAGATGAAGTTTGACCTGTTTGTCGTCTGCAGGCTGTTTCTGCTGTGCGATGGAGACGGGGGTGAAAATCTACAACGTGGAGCCGCTGATGGAGAAGGGCCACCTGGGTGAGTCCTGGTGGAGGTTTCTGATGAGCCGCCTGCCATCACTCCGCCACTTTAATGAGAGTTTTTATCAGCCAGTCAACAAACCTGTTGCCTGTTAGTGACTGGAAATAAATGCTTTGCAGTTGAGGTGGGCGATGCGGCATAGTCTGGTATCATCTGATGCTGATACTTTTTACTACTTAGTTTGATATATCGAAGTTCTGACATTCAGCCATTTTTATGGTTTATCAATTTATTTTCCAGCAAAATTTATGACAGGCCTACATATTAACAACATAAACAAAATCAATAGAAAAACAAAACAAATTTGTCTCCATCGTTTCCTGAATATAGTACAAAAATATAGAATTTGAGAAACAAACACTTTTTTTTCTGCATTAGAGTTGAGGAACTACAACATAGAAATATGAAAGTTTGTTGGTGAATCTGTAACTAAAGTATACATTTTATCTACAACACACTGTCAATGTTATTGATGTTTTCCGTGGCTCCGCCCACCTCTGGTTTCCAGCTCAGGCTCTTGATGAGGCAGAGAGAAAATGAAGACCTCTGTCGTCATGACAACTGTCCCAAATCAGTGTATCGGTGCACATACACTAGTTAGTTTGTCCTGTTTGAGTGTTTGTGTCGTTGCAGACCATGAGCAGGTGGGCAGTGTGGCGCTGTGCTCCATGCTGCATCGCTCCAACCTGCTGGCCTTGGTGGGAGGAGGAGTCAGTCCCAAATTCTCTGAAATCTCCGGTGCGTCGGCTTCTCCAGAATGTTCTTTTATTTTTTATAATCAGCCTGACCTCTCTTTATTTATACTGTACCTGCTGTAGATATTTAGCTTCGTAAAGCAGAGATTGTTCTTTTTGGTTTCCACAGCAAACAATACAATAATTACAGCACAAACTATTTCAGTCGTCCACCCATCATCAGACGCCTTTGTCCCTAGTGGGATCACCTGGAAGACAGACATGTTTTTGGATTGTGGGCGTACCCACACAGGGAGAACATGCAGAAAGACCAGGGCTGGGAATTGAACCCAGGGCCTTCTTGCTGCAAGGCAGCAGTGCTACCAACTGTGCCGCTGTGCATTTTGATGTGGCTACGTCAGCCATATCAGAACTAAAAAAAAGATAAAAATAAAACTACAACAGTTTTGTCTGGTATTACAAGCATGTCTGTTGTAAGTGGGTCACTCCTACAGTGAGAATAGAACATGTGTTTCTCATTCATTGAACTCTTGAGCATCACTTGGATTTGCTCTCCTCTGGTTTAAGTTCTGATCTGGGATGATGCTCGAGAGTCCCGGGACCCCAAGGACAAGCTGGTGCTGGAGTTCACGTTCACCAAACCGGTTCTGGCCGTTCGCATGAGACACGACAAGTGAGTTTCCTCTGACCACTCTTACCCGTCCCCGTCCAGCCGCACAGATCCACTGATCATGAGATCGCCTGTTCTCGTAGGATCATCATCGTGTTGAAGAACAAGATCTTCGTTTACAGTTTCCCTGACAATCCCGTCAAGCTTTTTGAATTCGACACCAGAGACAACCCTAAGGGTGAAACTCTTTCTTATTCTGTAGCTTCTATGTTTCTCCTCTTATTGTCTTACTTCTTAACAGCATTTCTCTCCGTCCTGCAGGTATCTGTGACCTGTGTCCCAGTCTGGAGAAACAGCTGTTGGTATTCCCAGGTCACAAATGCGGCAGCTTGCAGCTGGTTGTAAGTTCCAGACCCGAGGGAGGACGGGTGCGTCTGACTGTTGTTCTGGCCAACAAGCTGGCACGTCTTGTCTCTTTCAGGACTTGTCCAACACCAAGCCCGGCACGTCGTCGGCGCCGTTTACTATCAACGCCCACCAGAGCGAGATCGCCTGCGTGGCGCTGAACCAGCCAGGCAGCGTGGCGGCGTCAGCGTCCCGCAAAGGAACCCTGATCCGACTGTTCGACACCACAACCAGAGACAAACTGGTGGAGCTGCGTAGAGGCACCGACCCGGCCACGCTCTACTGGTACTTACTGCAGATCACATCAGATCAGAGTGGAAGGTGGATGCAGTTTGGATCTTTGGTCCAGACCTTCATTTAGTATTTTTACAGTCAGTGTCCTACTGGAAAGAAACCCAAAACTTGGCTCAAAACATTTGACCCAAGTTATACACTAAAGACATTTATCCCTCATACTGACCAAATGTATCTGAAGAAAGGGGAAAAAAATGTTCTGGCTAAATTTTCTGGCTTTGAGCAAAGAGAAATAATTCTGGTAAAAGAAAAAAACAAGAAAAATTTCGTCTGATTTATCTTCAGACAGTGAGATAAAATAAAATGTTTGTGTTTCATTGGATGTATGTAAATATCTGGTTTTAACTGCATTGACCATTTTCCTGTCCTTGTTGAAGAAAAGTATCCCCACAGCACGATGGTGTGTTCAGGGTCATTTCTGCCAGGACATAAATCAAATTAATTGCAACGTCTTATTCAACTCAAAACTGCTGGATTTGTCCCAGAGGGAAAGAAATCGGTAAAACTCTTATTATTAACCTTGAGAGTTATTGTCAGTTTTGCAGTGAATCTGAAGAGGTTTCTGATTGACAGTTCGTCAACTCGTATTAGGGCCATTGCAGACAGAAAAAAAAATTAATTTCTGCAAAATAATTATAAAATTTTGAGAATTTCACACATTTTCTGAAAAAAAGCCATGGAAATTATTGAGCTTCAAAAGTTTTTTCCTAAATTTTGAGATTAATCTCAAAATTACTCAGTTATCTCTAGCAGTTTTTCCACCTTCCAAGCACATAGACGCCGCCGGCTTCCATCCATTGAAGCGTTCCTCGTTTTCTCTCTTTCAGCATCAACTTCAGCCACGACTCGTCCTTCCTGTGTGCGTCCAGCGACAAAGGCACCGTCCACATCTTCGCTCTGAAGGACACCAAACTCAACCGTCGCTCTGCGTAAGACCTCCGCTTGCTCACGTCCTCTCACTGCTGCTGCCTGCTGAACGCGTCTCTCTCTCCCTGCAGCCTGGCCCGTGTCGGGAAGGTGGGCCCTGTGATCGGTCAGTACGTGGACAGCCAGTGGTCGCTGGCCAGCTTCACCGTGCCCGCTGAGTGCGCCTGCATATGTGCTTTTGGAAAAAACACGTCCAAGAACGTGAACTCGGTCATCGGTGAGGAAACCTGCTGCTGCGCCTTGGCTGCGTGTCGTGACGCCCATAAACGTGCCGTTTCCTGTGTGTGTCATGATGCAGAGAATCAGAATGAAGCTCAGTAAATGTTATTGAAAAAAATGGAGCAGTATTGTAATAAGATATACAATAACATCTTTGTTGGTAGGATCTTATTTATACCAATCAGTGCTGCAAGTAATGATTAGTAATGGACTCAATTAGTATTGATCATTCAAAAGCCAGTCATCTTAGCTTTAACATCATCCTCCTGTACTTCAGCTTCACTTCTACATCCTGACAGAAAAAAAACATGTATTACAAGTCTGTTAACTTCCTTCTCTAAGTTCATATTTCTCCAATAATTTTGAGCATCACCATAGTTTTCTATCCTTGCCTTCTCATGCCGTCTGTAAAGCCACCTCTCTGTTCTGCAGCCATCTGTGTGGATGGGACCTTCCACAAGTACGTCTTCACACCGGATGGAAACTGCAATCGGGAAGCCTTCGACGTGTACCTGGACATCTGTGATGACGATGACTTCTGAGAGGAAGGCAGAGGGTCGAGACTGACCTGAGGAGACCGCTGTGGTCTGGTGATGGAAAAGACCACCGCAGACCAACCTACTCAGCTGCAGCCTGTTTTATCAGCGTTTTAATCAGTTGTATTTACAATGAGCAGCTCAGCTTACCTGGATGATGAGCAACACATGATTAATGTACAGGATTTATGGAAGCTGACAGTGAAGTCTGACTAAAATTTGAGTTTTATGAAAACTCTGTTGCTTTTATTGTAAGTAATAAATGGACCTTTTCTTCATATGTTGCTGCATAAGTTGCTGTTTATCATTTGTTAAGATTTCAGTGTATGTTTTGCATTGTTAGTGCGACACTTAGTTGCGGTGTATCAGAGGAATTGTTTGGATCTGTCAAAGTGAGGTTCTGTAGTGTTTCCATACTATATTGCTACCAGGAAAGAAAAAATAAAACCCAGGAAGTCATAATTATAAGAATGAAAGCTATAACGTTCACTTTCTGAGTCCTAGTTGTGAGATAAGTGTGACCTTGAAAGTCATAACTACAACCCTTATTATTATAATAAATTGGAATTATGACTTCCTTTGGGCTTTCATTTTTTTTTTCTTTCATGGCAGAAATGGACTTCCGTACCAGAGACCTTGTAGTAGCTAGCATGTTCCTGTGCAGGAAATGACTCTCCACAGAGTCACAATCTCACCTGTAGTTAAGTTAAAGGGCATAAAATGATGCTACAATGTTATTCCTTCAGCAAAAACCTTCCTGAAGTGTTGCCTCGATTATTTCTGGCATGTTTGAGAAATCATAAAATCTCCCATGGCAACCATTCGGTGTGTCTAAAGGCTGGGTTTTAGTGAGTGCTGCCTTTTCTACAAAGATCCTCCTCCAGCCAAGCTTCAGCGTCACAGAGTAGCCCAGCCCCACTCAGCTCCTTCAGACTAGCCAGCAGCGATTAGCAAACGCCTACATTTAAACAAACAAGTTTACAGCTCAAGACTTCGACATCAATAACGCAACAATCAGTAAAACATTAATGTAAGAATAACTACTGGTCAGAATCTGTATCTAACAGTGCAGTAGACTACTTAGTTATGGCTTGTTCTGTATTCATTAGTTTGTTATATTTTACAAGAGTTAATGAGCCAAATGGTTTAGATCCCCAAGAATTGGAAAGCAATATAAAGTCTTCAGATAATAAAGAGCAGTGTTATGTTTTTTCCAGGTATAGAGTGCCATTTTATAGCTCAATGAAGTAATGTTAACTTCAGTTGGTATAAAAATGCTACATATATATTAAACATGAAAAAAATAAAAGCTGTCTTTGCAATTTGACATCTTGAAATCTTCTCTTTCATCAAGATGAAATGAACATGTATGAAGTAATAGCAAAACAACATACAGAGAAGACTTTTACTATGATGTTTTATTAGAAAGAATGAAGCAGATAGATTAAGGTGACTCATTGTGTGGCAGAAAACCTGACAAATACTATGCAAGTCCATGTAAATATATTAAACCTAGAAAGATTTCAAACACACCACCTGGCTTAAGTCTTATCATACATACAACTCACATTGTTGTTTTGATAACCTGAATTAAGGGCTGCAGGGACAAGGATACAACGTAAAATCAACTTACAGTCTGGTTATTGTAAACGATAAATGTGGTGTTTTAGATAGAAATAACAACCAACTCAAGAAAATATTTGACACAACCAAATTCATTCAAACTTACTTTCTTTACTGTGTAACTCTGTGGAATTTCACAAAAATATGCTGAACACAATCAGTTCAGAAAAGCACTACAATGAGCAAGAAATATACAGAATAGCGATTAATGTACAGGCGTCTGAATATGAAACGATCCTAAAGTGGTATCTCAACTGCAGTCTGCTGGAGCTGTTGTGAAGAACTGAAAGGCACGTCACATTTATCAAAGCTGACATTTAAACCAGATGTCCTTAAAACGAACAGAGTGTTTGACATGGTACACCGCACTGTGTGAGCTTCAGAACTCTTCATGTCCTCATGTGTCGCCATTGAAAACACAGTCAGCTTAAGGCCACCCTGCTCCTGTTCCAAGATGTCACCTCAGTGACTGACATGGCAACTCTAGTCAGCTACAGACGTTCTCACTGGTGCGATGCCAGCAAAAGCAAAACTGCAATAATCCTGCACTTTTACACATTTACATACATTACAAACGATATCGATGTTATTTTGGTTACTAAAATGTTTTCTTTTCTTTCTTTCTTGGACATCGTCATTTTAGCGTCATGGAGGTTTTTTCTTTTTTTGAAAGAGGCGCTGATCCATTTTTAGCACAAAAGTAACCAATTCACTTCAGTTCTTAGCTGAGCTTCGCCTCCATTAGTTTGTGTTGGTGCAAAAGGTTCTAGAGGAGGACTTGAATGATGAGGAAGAAAAGGGTGAAGACAACATGCTTTGGTCCGTAAATGATCTTTCTTGGCAGTTATATATTTTAGAGAACGTGATGGTAGCTCAGAGGCCAAATGTCCACAGTGTGTCTTCTACGTTTTGCTAACCATTCTCCTTCCATAGAACTAAGTGAATGCTATGGTCGGGCATGCTGGTGGCAAATACCAGTCCAGAGTCATTGCCCCCATCCAGGCCGTTCAGCCAGGAGGTGACGCCTGCAAGGAAGCTGGATCCTCGTTTGGATTTCCTGTATGCTGGAAGAGGCCAGCGGCCTGAGATAGACTCTGTCCTCAGGTCCATGACATACAGGAAGTGGTTATCAAAAAGGAGAGCAAACACCTTGCCGAAGCTTAGCAGGGACAGGTTGGCTGGATCCTCCATCTTTATCACTCTGAGAAAAGGAGAACAGAGTTGTAAGGATTAGAGTGACATTGGCTGAGTGTCCATTGACAACAGAAGTTGAAAATAAATTTGCCAAATTGGAAAAAAACTCAGTTTTCAGTTAAGTTTTTCCGCGAGATTGAGGCGGGTTTTCAGCTGAATTGAAACATAAATATTCAGAAAAACGGCAATGAATGCACTTTTTTTTCACATGTGACAAAAGATGATTTTTGTTTTCTCAGACAATGTGGGTGAATGTGCTCCATCAGAGCTCTCACAGCGTCACAGTTCAGAAAATGTTGTGCTTCATTCCGACATCATGAGTCCAAAACTTTTCTGGAAAATCGCAGTCCACAAAACACCTCATACAATAACTGCTCCCAAGTCACCAGGGCTGTTCACTCCAACACCAAAGATTGGAGCTTCCAAAAAAACCCACCAACACTCAGTACACTAACTTTAATATCAACCATTATAAACTTAGTAAAAACCATAGTACCAGACTGATGTACCTGCTTTTAAAAACTACTGAATATCCATGAGTATTGCAGTACATTTAATCAGTATGAATACTGTTAAACATATTTTTCTGTTTTATGATATTCCTGTTTCTTGCTGTATGATATTCTGTTGTAAAATGTTTTAATGTTTTCTAAACATTAAAACATTCATGCCTCTGCTAAAAGTGAGAATTTGATTTCAATCGATTTAGTTGGATGAATAAAGATAGTCTTGAACTAACATGATGTTCTGAACATTTTACCTCAGAATTTCAAAACTGGCAAAATCCCACTGATAAACTCCCAGGTCAGAGCTGCAGATGATGTAACGTCCATCAAACTGCAGGCGAGGCTGAAGGCTGATGCTGCGGTCCTCCGACACCGACAGCGTCTTCAAACACTTGCAGTTGATTTCTCTTCCTAAAGGCCAAACCTGCAGAGCGAGCAAAACATTCAGTTTCATCCTGTGGAGTGCTTCTCACGAGGACGAGAAAACCTCTAACGAAAAGATGATTTCTAGTAGTGTGAGAACTTTACCTTGATTTCATACTTATCAGCGCTTAGCAGGATATAATCTCCAGGACTGTGTACCATGGATTCTACTTCACTCTTCTGCAAGATCACCTGATGGGAGACCACACCAGAGGGAGAGCAAACAGTGAGTTGGCGTTACCAACAAAAAAACACAATCCGTCACCATGCTGATCCTACCTTAGTGACCCACTCGGTGTGTCCAGTGAGCGTGTTGAGGCAGGCACCGGCAGACAGAGACCAGACCTTCACCGAGAAGTCTGCAGAACCGCTGACCAGCACATCCAGTTCATCGTTGTAGTCCACACTAAAGACTGTACCCACACACAGAGACAGTGACCATGATTGTGCATTACCCTGAGTCTCTTACACATCAATGTAGTGAAAACTGTGGAACATGATTGATGTATGTCAATGTCAGGGCAGGAGAGGTTTCTAAATCACGCAAACATTTTGTGCAAATTCTCAAGTTTCTATTGCATTTTTTAGTAGTTATTTTCTCCCTCAATTTTCTCCCTCAACCACCTCAAAAGTATAAAACTAAACTAACGTCTAAGGCGTTGCAAACTCCAGATGGACATTTGGTCAGCATTCATACTGACCTGCTCCAGTGTGGCCCCGGAACTGCTGGATCTTAGCCCCTGTGCTCCATTCCCAGCATGCAATAGTGTTATCAAAGGACCCGGTCACTAGCTTCTGCTCATCAAATTTCACCGTGGCACATGTGTGTGTCTGAATTCCATAAATACACTGTCCAGTTCTCACGTCCCATAATTTGGCAGAGAGGTCATCAGACCCTGCAACAGGAGACAAGCATGACGACAGCAGGCAGAGTCACGTTCTCCACAGAGTCACACTGAGGAACCAACACAGTCAGAGTCAATGAAAGGTACCTGTACAGAGCAGGCCGTCCTTGTAGTACAGGGCGTAGACTCGGGCACTGTGGCCAATCAGGGACGACGTCTCAAAGGCTTCCTGGTCCTTCAGCTGCATCATACGCAGTTTCGCTTTTAGGTAGACGTCCTTCCAGTGGGCTGCATCCTGAATGGATTCATCGATCCGCCAGCCAAGCTCCCGACACACACTCTGCCATACCTCTGTGCACGAGCTGATCACCTACACACACACACACACACACACACACACACACCACACACACACACACACACACACACACACACACACACACACACACACACACACACACACACACACACCTAAATAGCTTTAATATTTGCTACTGGGAGTTAACTTGCTTCACAGAAAATTCAACTAATAAGATTCATGACAGATTTCATTACAGTTCTATGTAGATATTTACTTTGTATTATCATCACCTGATGATAATAGGTGATGATGCAAGTTCCTGAAGCTATTTCAGGAACTTGCTTTAAAACATGGCAAGTTCTGACACAAAGCTATGCAAGTTCCTCAAGCAATTTTGTCATTGATTAATTTTTATTTTCTGATTAATCGATTTATATTGATGAATAGTCCAGGAGGGAAACTGACACATTCTGTAGATTTTTCTTTGTACCATTTTTTTCTTTGTACCATTTTTGTACAATATTAGAAAGGATGCAAGTAATTTGATTCCTTTTAATAAGAAAACATTTTTTTGCCATATCAGTTTTACTGCAGCTAAAAACAATCCTAACATCAACATGTGAAAAGTTTTTCTGCTGGACTCAACATCAGTATGGTGTAGATGTGATGTGTAGGTTATTTTTAGGATTAACTGAATAATAATCAGAGAGCAAAACCTGGTTAGTAGACGACAGTTATTCACTTTTTTATTTTGATTTAATTATTTATTTATTTTGCAGAATTTGAAGCAAGTAAAGCTAAAACTACCTCTTCAGGAGCTTTGGGTAGAAGAGATTTATAGAAGAAGAAATGTTGGTAATATTTTATTTGACGGGTTGTGAATAAGACCGTCATAAACAAACCCGGATTTTAGCCCAGGGCCCCGGCGCTTCGGGGGCCCTGGGCTAAGAAGCTTAATGAAATCTTTATTGTTGGTCCTACTTGTTTCACTTTATTTCAGGTAGGGGAAATATTTATTGCTGTTTTGACAGTGTAATCTTAATGACATTATTATGATTACTATTATGACATTTGATGATTTAATGTATATTACAGTTCAATGTTATTGCTCCATTTACTGTGATGGACTGCAGCCTGCCTGTTGTATCATGAGCTCAGGACCTTTACCTTATTCCACTGTTTGCAGACCAAGCAGCAGGTGAGCAGGGTCTGAGGATCCAGCCACCGCAGCAGGTAGAAGGCCAGCTCCAGGGGAAGGAGGCGCAGGAAATCCCGTTTCAGCAGCGTCTCCAGGCCGTTGGACAGGTGACGGAGCTGGGCGGCGCCGCTCAGAGAAATGAGCTGATCCAGACACTGGTTACGCTGCTGGTCGTTAAGAGAAAGGAAGGTGGCAGAGACCGACTCCAGCCACCCCTCAAAGGCCGTTTTGTCCATGGGCACATGACCAGCAACACCTGCAAGAGCAATGAGTCCAAAGCATGACTTTCAGTTATGCGTTTACTGAATTAAGGATTTATTTTTGCTCATGTGGAAAAAGCAGATACTGTCTTTAGTATTTAAACTAAAACCAGCAGAATCTGAAATGTAAATGTTCAGTGTTGGAGCTGAGTTCTCAAACTCTCAGTTCCTCTAGCAGAACCTGTCTCAAGTTCTGCTAAAGGTTTCTTCCTGTTAAAGGACAGCTTGCTTTTTTCCCACTGTTGCTACATACATGCTCAGTATGATTATGAAAACCCAATTTTCATTTTCTCTCTGCCATCTCCCAGATTATTTTACATTTTCTACTCACTTCATATTCCAGCAGCAACTCTACATTTTAGTCTGCAAGTAGAACATTTAAACTGCTGGATATCATAGTGTTTACATTCAAATACATAAATAAAAACGACCAACTTCAGAGAAAATATTAAAGGAACCGGGGCCTTCCCCTTTAAGCGTCTCCTTGGATACGAGGTGAGATTAACTCTCTCATTAAAGCCGTTTTAAAAGATATTAGCTGGTAAAGTTAAAATATTTCTCTACATTTTTGTGTTCTGAGAGGGCCCTTCACAAGAAGCAATGAACCAATTCATAATAAATTAAAAGGAGCTTGATCATTTTTATTTGTGAAATGGTTTGTTCTCGTGTTTCTCTCTTTCTACCAAAATCTGAATGAGAAAGGATTCAGTCTGATGCTTTGGCCTCAACTGAACCTGCTAAGAAGGGCAATGTTGACAGAGACAACAGTTTATTGTTGTTATCAAATACTTCATCAGCTGAATACCCGGAGTGTCCAACAGAACTAAACCAATAGTGCCAAAAATGTGAAAAAGGTTGTGACCTCTAACATTAGTTCAACAAACCATGTGATTTTTCTCCTTCTCTTTGCATAAACATGTACTATTTCTTTCTGTAGAGGGGATGTTTTTCTAAATCCACAAAACAGAACCAATCATTATGTTTCTGGATACCCCAGAAACATAATGATCCAAAATTTAAATTTGCTTCAAAAGTTGTTACCAAACAAATAAAAATGCTCTGCCAAAGACAGACAGAGCAAAGTCACGGCTGAACAGTTTAGATAAGAGGAATTATTCTGTGATATTTGACCTTGTATGAGCCAGATTAGATTATCTGAACGAGATCATCGATTTTTCAAAAATTGTATCAGTGGTGAGGTCGACACATTTATCAAAGAAGGACGGCGACAAAATAGCACAATCTTCCAATGACAGGTGCATCTGCGTTTAGCTTTAAATGTGCAAAGTGACAGCCAAGAAGGTTCCGTAAAGTCCTGCTCATACGATGACTTCTGTTGTCATCACAGCCAATAAATTAGATTCCATTTCGCACAAGCTGGGTTCTGCAGCAGCTTGCAGGACACACACCGCTGCAGCTGACAGGTAGCAGCTTGACGTAACTTCATTTCTGAATCAAAAGCTCCTGCTCCTGTCAGAGGAGCAAATTCACTCACCTGGACTGACATGAAGGTGCATCGACAGATACACTCAGTTTGTTCGGATTCTGCACCTGAAACAACTTTATTGTCCATAAACATTCTCAGCAACACTTCACATATAGCAACTTAGCGACGTCTGTTGCCGTCTAACTCACGTTATGTGCAAAATAGTTATCATGGGTCGAATTGCCACTACAGCCAGTTAATTACAACACGCATAGGTTTAACATTTCCACCAACCTGTAAGTTGCAAGAAGCTTTTCTTCGCCCCTTTCCTTGTTTAGTCAGTAGCAGCGTTAGCTTCCATAAGCTAACCTGCCTAACTAATTACACTGTCCACGTAACATAGCCGCCTAGCTTCTGAGCGCGAGCTACCATCCACAGTGCATTTGATTGTTTAATGCTTACATGCAACGGTTTTGACCTAAACGTCTTATTCGCATTTTGAAAGCAGAAAAATCAGCAGGGAGTAGACAAGGATATCAGTATTTGACAGCATGAAAACCAGCCGATAATAGAAACGCGTCATCCGCTCCAAAGTGGTGAATTTGCCCTGCGCAATGTCTTAAAGGAGGTATCTGAAGTAAACTACTCTCTGATAACAGAAATGTGCTTGTAGCTTGTTAACTTTTTAGTAGAGTTTCATTTGATTTTTCATAGTCTAGTGAGAAACCATAGCATCGTTTCATTTTCTTGTAAATTATTTGCCTGTACGACAAAACTACGGACATAATTTAAAATAGTTTGCAGGTATCTGACTTCCGGTGTTACACAAATAGCGTAACGGAGTGAAATATGGATGAAAAATATGACCGGGTTGGGTTTCCTTTTGTTAGGCTCCCACAAGTTGCTTTCTGTTGTGAGACAATCGACGCTTGATTGGGGAAAGCCTGCAAAAGAACAGGGGACAGATATTTCTGACAACAGATTCTATGTTTTAAAAAATCTTGATCTGAAAAATATTGCAACAGGGCCGAGCACAATTTGAGCTTCATGTCTCAGTAAATGGGGCTCAACCAGTCCAGAAATAGTTGAATGAACACCTGCATTATTTTAAAGTTATTCAAAATTCAATTACGTCAGTGCGTTTTTTTCTGTTCTCTGTCTCAACTAGAGGTTTTGAATGAATGTGGAATAAAAAAATCACACTTTTCAATTGATGCTGCTGTACAAATTAATTAATTAATTAAACCAAAAGGTAAATTGCTTGTGCTTGTATGACACTTTATCAAGTCTGTAGGACTCAAAAGCATTTCATTCCACAGTCAGTCATTCAGCAGTTTACATGCCAGTGGTGGCATTGATTACTGGATAGTAGCCACAGCTGCCCTTGGGAAACCAGTAAGGAGTAGACAAGGGGCAGTTTGACAGAGGCTGTCATGCACCAGTGGCACCAGATGAAGTGCCTTGCCCAAGGACACAATAACAAAGCCTGATAGGGTGGGAATTGAACCGATATTCCACCAATCGAGGGATGAACTTCTTCCACCGTCACCATCATTGACAGGAAAAGTAATTTGGTAAATTAGATGTTGAGAATAGTTTTTGTAATATTTCAAAACAGTTAAATGATATATTTAAACATTCTTTTAGATTTGAATTTCTGCTTGACAAGGTCTTCTTTTTAAGTAAGAGAAATCTGTTTACCAGCCTAATAATTTTCTAAGTCGATATTTGGTCTTCTGGCACCTGGAACGCAGCTGGAGAGGCACCAGCAACTCCCAACCCCGTAGTAGGGTGATCAGAAAATGGATGGATGGATGGATATTGGTCTTTTTGTAATTTTTTTTAATTTTTTAATCAAATATATAGATCCTGAAAACAAATTCATTCATTGTATGTTTTTGTGTCATTAGCCATGTGCCATATTTAGACTTCTATTTTTGCTTTCATGTTATAGCTGAACGTTTTAGATAATCCAAAAATGTCAATATCAGACAAAGATAACATGTATGCATACAAAATGCAACTTTCCAAATTATTTCATTAATCCATCAACCCATTCATTTATCTACAACTTATGGCAATCGTTGGGCAAGAGATACACCCTGACAACACAGAAAGACAGAAAAACAACAGTCTTTCTTTCTCTCACTCTTTCTCACACACAAACACACGCGCAAACACACAGCAACACACACACACACACAGCGACACACAGCGACACACACACACACACACACACTCATAGGGGCAATGTAGAGAAACATGATTTCATTCACTAGTTTCTAAGCAAATTTGTTTGTTTCTCTAAAAGAGGGTTTTTGAAGATTTTTTTATTTTTATAATGCATCTCAGAATGTACATTGTGATTTATGAATTTAGACAGATTTTAGGACAACTCTTTTGGTAGCTGAATTACATATCTCTTAAGTGGTGGACCTAACATGGAAAAAGTAAAGAACTGGGTCAAACAGCCCATGTTTTGATGATCTAGTCACAAACCAGGAATAAATTGCTTTGATCCTATGTATAGCCAGTGTAAGAGCTTCGCTAATAACTTATTATAAAGGATTTAAATGAGAATGACATTCTAGTGTGAAACAATAAAGCACTTTAGAAAATTCATTGAAACTACTCGTCTTACTGAAAGTGTTGTTTTTATACATGTTTGTGTCTAACATTTTGATTTGATGGCAAATTCAGTTTATGTGAGATTACGATGTGGGAACAAATGGGGGACTGCAGCGAACAAGCAGATCCTGAGCTGTCAGGTCCAGATTGTGCAGACAATCTGAGCACCTGCTGCTGGTGGAGGAAGGGAGACTGAACAAGTGATAGATATCTGCTAATCTCTGGTGTAGGGAAGCCACTTAAACTTCTGTGGACACTAATGAGCTTGGAAGTAAATCCTGGCCTGGACTCACTGGAATGTATACATTTATTATGTCCAAGTTGTTTGGCTACTTCATGCACAGTCCAGCTGTTTTCTTCAGAACATTTAGGCAAGCCAAGAAAATACTGGTTTAAAATGCATCTGATCAACATGTCTTTTTGGGTGAAATTGCACAAACCATGTTTGGAGAGGAAATAGAGCCCACCAGGCTAAGAATTGTTCTAACCAACCATTGCTGATATTTACTGGTCTACATGCTAAGAACTTCAGCAAATGAAGTGTCATGTCACAAATCAGGGATCAGCAAATATTGGACACTTTAATTAGGATGAAATGACAGAAACAACAGTTTTTTTGTGTTTGCCTTTTTAAGACTCCACACTTGGTGTTTTGTGCTAATAATATCTTCCAACAATACATAAGTAGTCATATTTTCAAATTTCCTGTCAATTAAAAAAAATGCAACTCAAAAACATGGTGGGCAGCAGGATGACCACCACCGTGCTTAGCAGGTTTTCTGAGGGAAACCCTGTGTCATATTCATATGTGTGAAAGTTTACGTGAATATTTTTTTCTTTCAGAAAAAAATAGATCCTTGAATTTCAAAAGTCCAGTGAAAGAGTTTATAGCAGCTGTGGCACAGGAGCAGGTGTTAGTCCACCTCATGTTTTCCTGACTGCTCTCTCTCTGATGCTGATCACTCTCCTTATGACCAGGGAAGGCTGTCTGTGGCCAGGCATGGAGGGTGGCTATGGAGAAAGCCAGCCTCTAGACTGAGGCCAGGCAGGAGCAACATGGCGGGGCTTTAACACTTGCCTTTTTGCTTTTTTATTCAGATTTTTTTTTTTTCTTGGATGCACCTCCATCTCCGGCTTTAGCATGGAGCTGGGAAAAGTTCATTTGAATTTAAAGACACTTTTGCTGACAATGATGATGTTCAAGTGGGGTGAGTAGAAACTTTTAATCCTTCTGTTTAATGTGAATGGCAGACTTCAATAAAGGAAATCAACGCAAAACAACTAAATTAAATCATTATTGTTCTACATGTAACATTTGCAGAAGTGAGAGTTTGTATGAGAAGTGTTGTATGGGAAGGAATGTTGTTGTGCCTCTTGATGATGATGCTTTCCAAACAAGTGGCTTTCACAAAGTTCTGTGATGTAAGACCTCTTCTGAGCCTCAGCTACCAATAAAGAAGATGAAGCAATGAGGAGATGTTGTGTTTTGTCACCCTTAACAATCATTTTGAACTTTAATCATATCCAGTAAAACTGAACAATAGTGAAAAGGCTGCAAGCATGATGAGGACAAATCCTTTCAATCACCAAAGCTGTAAACTTCCTTAGACTGGTAACGTAAAGAGAGCGCTCTGAACTGGTGGGAGTCGAGTTAATCTGTGTCTGATTTGACACATGACTGACTCAGAATGAGACCACTCATTCATGCAGACTCAAATCAGAGCAAACAATGGAGGAGGAGAGAAAGTTGGTTCATATCTTTCCATGCTTGAACGAAGCTGCAGAATGAGGTCACGTAATGTCCCGTTATGTTATTTCATTTTCCACAAAGTTCTGATTTATCACATGATGGTTGTCTAATGTGTCCCCTCCCCAAAATAGGATCCGTTGTTTAAAGGTTCTGCATAAATGCTTATAGTGAACTCACCCTTTAGTGTTAATAAGGCAGTTTCTCTACATGCAACTTTGACATATTATTGATAACTAAGCAATTATCCTCTACTTCAGTGGATATATATATATATATATATATATATATATATATATATATATATATATATATATATATATATATATATATATATATATATATATATATATATATATATATATATATATATATATATATATACAAATGTTATATGTATATATATGTATGTATATTCATATATATGTGTGTGTGCGGGTGTGTGTGTGTGCTTGTGGGGGTGTGTGCGTGTGTGTGTGAGACAAATGATTACATAATGTGACTTTAAAGACTTGAACTTGAAGTCCACCAAACATTTTTACAGGCATTTACTGTTAAAGTTCAATTTTATTATTTTATTACCATGTTATTATTTCAAACTGCTTGTGGGGCTTGTATGTGTTCTACAATGTATGCAAGTTCAAATAAGTTCAATAAAATAAAAGCAGCTGCTGTTTTTTATAACTGAAAAAGATGAATGAGTATAGATTTATAAATACTAACAGAACGTTTTATAAGTAACAAATAGGTGTACTAATTTACTTAAACATAGAAAAGATTAAATAATAAAAAGTATATTTCTGCTATATTATTTATACAGCTCATTTTATTTTCTTTTTGCAGAAACTAATCAGTGCATAAATGTCCTTTGCCAGGTATGAATTTAAACTGTATAAAATGGTTTGTGGCAGATGACATCACAAAGGTATGAAATAGTAGATGGCTTGTACTTGTTATGAAGAGAACCCCAAAGCAATTCACACTCACCTATTCACACACAAACACACACACTCACACGATGATGGTGGCAAGCTACTGGATAGAAGCGATGTTCCCATCAGGCCTCGGACCCCCAGCAGCAGGCAAGGTGGGTGAAGGGTGTTGCCCGAAGGCACAACAACAGAAGCAGATGAAGTGAGGATCGAATCAGCAACCCACTGATTGCAGGGCAAAATAAGCAGCTATCAAATAGATTTTATTGACTTTTATTTTCATTAGGAAATGAGAAAGATATGTTATTGAAGCTGTGTTCCAGTTGATTACACCACATCATAAGGATTCTTTGTTGTGTTTGGAATTACTGAGCTGATATAACAGGAAAGATTGCATTAGGATGTCTGTTAGCCCTCAGTCACTATGAAAACTTTTCAACACTCTCCTGTCACTGTGGAGCAGCTCAGGCCAGAACTCAAGATACGTCTCATTCAGACTTGAGGCGGATTGTAATGTCACAGACACAGACTGGACTGCAATTATCATAACTCCTTATATTTATCTCTAAACACCCAAAGAGTCACAACTCACGAAAGACAGAGGTGAACGGGAAGGATAGATGAAAGAATGAAGATTGAATCTTCTGGACTTAATCTGTCCAGGTATCGTGCCAGGAGATTAGAGGAGCACGGGGGATTGTCCTCAAGACGCCAAAGGGATTACAACATGGAGAGGTTGGGGAGGTCAGGGTGGCTCTCAGAGCCGAGGTGAAGGAAAGAAGGATGGCTTAAAAAGAGGATGTATAAAATATCATCATACAAACAAACAAAAAAGTGAGGTCAAATCAAATAGTTTTTCTTGGTTGAAAAAATACCTAAACTCTGCTGGAAATAATGTTATTTTCTGAAAAAAAAAACAGTAAAATAATAAGAATAATATAGGCTAAACATTAGCTAAGTACATTTTAATGTATTTGGAAAAACAAAGATATTTATTGAACTTAGATTATCATTAATTATCAAATATTTCACAAATTTCTTATCCTCTGAGCTCGGGTCCTCTACCAGAGGCCTGGGGATGTCTGATGTTGTTCCTGGGATCTGTTGTAGCCACTGCTCCAGTTTGGGGGTTACTGCCCCGAGGGCCTCGATGACCACAGGCACCACTGTGGTCTTCACCTTCCAGGCCCTCTCCAGTTCTTCCCTGAGGCCCTGGTATTTCTCCAGTTTCTCGTGTTCCTTTTTCCTGATGTTGCAATCACTTGGTATTGCTACATCTACCACAACGGCTTTCCTCTGATGTTTATCCACTACGACAATGTCTGGTTGGTTCGCCATTATATATATATATATATATATATATATATATATATATATATATATATATATATATATATATATATATATATATATATACTTTCTTATGGAATAAGGATTCCATAAGAAAGTACAGAAAGTTGAAATTTTCTGGGGTTGCTTAGGTTTGATGTGGTGCTGCTCAGTGGCGCGGACACACACACACACACACGCACACACACACACACACACACACACACACACACTCACACACACACACACACACACACACACACACACACACACACACACACACACACACACACACACACCACCTAGTAGCAAATCTTGCAGAGGTTCAATGAACTGGGTTTTGTCAAGATGTTTCCTCCACACAAACAGAATAGTGAGTATTCTGAATTCAAACTGCAGTAGTTTTGGTGCCTGTCATGTTTTCCGTCATGTTTTTGATTCCATTTTGGACTCAGTTATTTTCTGAAAACATTTCATATTTCAGCCTGTCTGACTTGCTCCTTTGTTTTCCACACCATGACTGTCCATGTTTACTGTGACTATAAATATTCCTAAACAATTACGTTTGTCTTTCTTAAGTGGCAGAAAACTGTTGCAGCCTTTTTCAGTTGACTGACTGGAATTGCGAGGCAACACAAGGCGGGAGGGTCCCTGTCCCCATGAGAACATATTTCTGAAGAAAACTGGATTTGAGGGATCTTCATGATTTTTTTCTTTTTAATTATTTTTTTAAACACTTGCATATCAACCCTTGCAATAGATCCCAAACATATGACATGTTTGGGATCTATTATCCCAAACATGTCATATGTAACAACCATCATGTTTGTCCTCGGAATTACAATCCAACAGAGAAAAAGCTCATCTTCATTATCAATCCACACAAAACATTCCATGCGCTCTGTAATGTTTACCATTTTATTCTTGACGTGTTTTTTTTCACATGAAGGCTTTAGGCTCAGGTCCAGGACTCCATGTATAGCAGCACTAGGAGTGATAATTGCATTTTGAGACAATCTCTTGATTCTGTGTTGATGAAAATGTTTCTGGAAACAATCCAATGAAGAAGTCCGTGTTTTTGAAATGTTGCCTTTCCCATCACCTCTGATTAAAAGAACTTTCAACTTCAGGAATCACATGATGGATAATTTTGCTTCATACTGGAAAAAACTCCATGCTTCGTAGACTGGGGACACTTTATTCTGTAGTTCCAGTGAAGCTGTAAATTGAAACGAAACAAAAACTTTCAGGCTGGTAGTTCCTAACTTCTGAGCCAAATCACTTCCTCTCTTAATTGCTAGAAACATTCCTGATAGTCTTCTTACACCTTCTTACATGACTTGGATCTAATCTTAAAACTCCAGACAACCACGTGTGATTCTGTTACTGTGCAGGTGGCTAACCCCCCACCGAAGCCCACAGTAATCTGTGAAATTTCAAACATGGTTAGTGTCTCCACCTTAAACTAGAGGCAGGATGCATCTTAGCCAGAATTGGAAATGACATCATCCCTCTGTCGTGAAGGAAGGCGGGGCTGCAGGGGTCACGCTCTTAAAGCAGATTTACAAGAAATGAATAAAAGTGATAAAATTCAATCAGAAATAAAGAGAGCAGACTGTCTGTTGTTAAAAAGGTGCAGAATACATACTAGCATCCACACAAAGAGAAAAATGCTTTACCAGGACAGTTGGACCACTGACACTGGTTAGAGAGCTACCACCTTATCTTCTGTACAGTCACCCCAGATTACATGGCAGCATGATTAACAAGGTGCTCTAATAATCAGCCTGGTCCTTCATCTGCTGGGTGAGTTGCTGTGCATCACATGCATTCGGTCATGTAAAGGAGACACTATTCTTGTAGGTCCTTTAGTCTTCTTGTATCTGTGCCAAATTAATCAGAAAAGGGAGAATAATCCAAGACAAGTTGGGACAGGTTGGACATCAGAACCGACCCAGTCAAGAATCAGTCACAGCGACAGCTGGTCTGAGTGCTTGGTCTTACTTTGTCGGTTTACTTCGCTCCTTTATGTGAATGCAAGAATTAAAACCAAAAGGAGAACAGAGAGATTAACATCCCATTAGAAAATAAATCTCCTTTCAGTTAAGTCACGCCTTGCAGTAAAAGTCCTCGATTAGGAATGAAGCACATTGAACACTGAAAGGACAATCAAAAGTAAATCTATGTTTTCCTAGTGATTTCTCTCATGTATTTGTAGACTGGTTTTCAGGGTGTGAAAATAAACTCTAAAGTACAATGAAGATTATTATAGGAACAATAACACAGAGTGGAGAAACGCAGCACCCAAAGGAAGGTAAGTTGTTAAAAAACAACCTATAAAGTATGACTTTCCAAAATGATTTGTAACATTTCAGACATGGTTTAACTGTCTTTAAACACATCCTCATAAAAAATCATGGCAACGACAGAAGTAAACAGTTTCATGAGATATATTCATATTCCAGCCATGGTGCTGGTGCTCATCATCTAACAGCCAATCAGAGAAGATGTTTGTATCTTATTAATTTCCCAAAAACCCCACCTCATTCTCGTGCAAAAATGTTTTATTGAAAAAAATTGTTGTTTTTTTTAATTGGCATGTTTCCATTAAGCACATTTATTTTTGAAACACCAAATTGCGCAATTATATGGTCAATAAAAATGGAACTTTGGAGAATGTGAAGAACCTGACCTTTCAAACATTTCAAAGTAATGATGCACTACAATATTTAATATAGTTGTCAAAATTCATCATATTCAGTTTATTTGAGAACATGGCAGTGATGGAAATTATCATCACTGTGGCATCTATCATCTGTGGAGGCCTGGTGGTTGCTGATGCTGCTTCAGACCTGGACGTCTAACAGAATGTAGAAGGAGGAGAATCGAGGAAGGCATGAAACTGTTTGCAGCCTGAAATGGGATCAAACCTCTTTATTAGTCAAACATTTAAAAAATGTTTTTTTCAAATTTTGGATGAAAATCCAGAGCAACACCAAGTCTGAGCAGTTTTCAGAAGATCTGATCACCATCACACGACCCGTATGACAGATAGTTTTCTGAATCTTACATCATTTATTTTTACTTGGCTTTAGGAACTCTCTGCTCGGCCACATCAGAAAAATGCCTGTCTGCGCCTTGCCAGAACGGGGCCACCTGTGTGGACACCATGGATGATTATGCTTGTATCTGTACCAGAGAAGGTGTGCTGTACATGGGCAAAAACTGTAATGAACTTTACGATGGCTGCTCCTTTGTGCCGTGTGACGACTGCACCAGCACCCCGGGGACGAGGGAATACCACTGCATATGCCCGGATGGACTCACAGGAGACAACTGCACCGAGGAGGTGGACGAGTGTCAGAGCAACCCTTGCTCCGAGCCTCGTTCTCTGTGTGTGGACCAGCTGTACGGATACTTCTGCAGGTGTCCGGCTGGATTTGGAGGTCAGGACTGCAGGACGCATGTGACCGACTGCATCGATAAGCCTTGCATGAACAATGGTACCTGCGCGCTCCGGCCAAACGGCTTTGAGTGCCGCTGTGCAGCAGGGTTCAGAGGGAGGACCTGTGAGGAAGACGTGAATGAGTGTTTGTCGGAACCCTGTCAGAACGGCGCCATCTGTATCGACGGAGTGGCAGAGTACCATTGTTTCTGTGTGCCCGGCTTTCAGGGCCACAACTGTGAAATAGACATTAATGAGTGTGCTTCTCACCCATGTGAGAACAATGCAACATGCATCAACGAGAAGGACCACTATGAATGTGAGTGCATGGTGGGCTTCACAGGTAAGGTCCACAGTCGGCCCACACACACTCATGCACACACACCTGGTGTTTGGGGCCGTAAGGCATGCATCCAGAGGCCTGCCATGTTTTTGATGTAAAAAATGTTTAAAGTTAACAAGAAACTTGAAAATAACACATGTGTCATTGGAAGATTAACACCAACTATAAAGTCTTAAAAATGCAAACGTTTAAAAAAAAAAAAAAAACTTAAATAAACAAGCAATGCTTAGTCTGCTGGGGGCACAAGTAAAGCCCGCCAGGCTTATAATACACTGTGGAAACCCTGTACCATGATTCAGAATCTTGGTTGTGTATATGAGTAGGTTATGAAATTGAAGTGTTCATCTAACAGCATTGGTAGTGAAAGAGGCTATGTAGCCCATTGTTACAACAAACTAAAGAATTTAAATGGATTGGATCTCACATTTCTCAGAACTTTGTTGATGTTCTTGAAATGTTAGTTTTACAAATGAAGACATTCATTTTTTTATCTGGCATGAAATTTGGCTGAAGTTGCCTGAATTCCAGAACATTTTCTTAAGATAGAAGCTTTTTAAACTACTTTGAATAACTAGTTGAGCACACAACTGTTTGATAGCTTGAATCCATCAGAATGCATGTGTGTTTGAACTGAAATGATTTTTTGAACTGAATTCAATTGCATCTGAATTGAATTCAGATGCAAAAACATCAATGGGGAAATCTCATTTCCTCATTGATGTCAAGTGAAGCAGCTAAAAGTTTGCGTAAACGTGAATGTGACAATAAAGTCTGGAGACAGGTTTTAAAGTGAACAATCTTCTGGCATGTTTTTAACCACCGTCTGATTCTGTACTGCATTGTCACAAGGGCTGCACCTTCTGATGATCTCCCTGTTGTTACTGAGGTGTTGACCGGCTGTAATTGGCTGTATTACAAGGGGTAATATTAAAGCCTTTATATCTTTTGCTTTCACCTGGATTAAGTAAAACATGTGGATGACCTCAGAGGCGAGACAAAAACCTCTGACGTCATCCATCCAAGGACTGAAATTAGAGATGCATCCTTGAGAGGGTTGTTTGGGTTGTGATGTTGCCTGTCTCACTGAACCATGACCTTTGAACTCGCATGGGCTCAGAAAGAGTTGACTTACAAAACAGCTTAATCGAATTCCAAACACTGACTCCTGTACGTCCCATAGGAGTCAATTGTGAAACTGAATTAGACGAGTGCGACTCCCATCCCTGCCAAAATGGAGCCACCTGCCATGATTTGATTGGAATGTACTCTTGTGAGTGCCTGGCTGGGTTTGACGGCATCAATTGTGAGGTTGATGTAGATGAGTGTGCCAGCCAGCCCTGTCAGAATGGAGCCTTCTGCCATGACCTGGTAAACAGGTAAGTAGTTTCCATAACAATCATTCCCACCTTAAGCAGAAAAACAATGTCATATCCACGTTATTGATATTAGACACTCATTACACAGTTGTAATGTGTGTCAGCCTTTTAATTTAATGGCAATAGATGACTTAATTCCATAGAAAAGTAATATTCCCACATTTACTAAGTAAGCTAGCCTGCTACTAGCCTCTAGATTCTGTGAGGAGCATCACGTGTGCATCATTGACGCAGCATTGGCACAAATCAGACACCAATTTTGTAGTAATAAACCAATAATAGCATTGCTTAATTTAACCATTTTCCATAACTTTTACTCACATCGGGATGCCAGAAGCCTGAAAGTCAAGTAGAAACAAGTCATATATCATCGTAATAATTTGGGTAATTATTATTTACTCACATTGTTACTTTGCAGCAAGAAGGTCATGTGTTTGATTCCTGACCTGGGATCTTTCTGCAAGGAGTTTGCAAACTAACCTTCCTCTAATGATTTCACACTTTTCTGTAAATCTTCCGCGCCTTTCTCATCTGTCACTGATGGACATCTGTTTTAAAGAAACTAGAGTGTCTGAAAAATGAGCTCATGTAATGTCTTGAATGTAATGTCTCTTACTGCTGATCCTCTCCGGTCTAATCACTAGTTTCTGTCTTTACCAGCTATGAATGTGACTGCAGTGACACAGGGTTTGAGGGTGAGCACTGTGAAGTGGATATTCCTGAGTGTGCCTCAAATCCCTGCCAGCACGGTGCCACGTGTATAGAAGAAGTCAACGGATATGTTTGTCTTTGTTGGCCAGGTATGGGAAGACCGTCTGTCCCTTTCTCTGCCAAGACAAGATCCAATATGGCGGACTCACAGGGCCACAGTGTGGCCACTCACTTAGGGCACAGGATGAGCTTGTGATTTGAAGTATTATAAGATGATTTAAACTTACTTAAACAGGCCTCTCCAAGGAGAGACGATTCCCTAAAATAAAAAAAAGTAGGAGTAAGAATGGTTTAGTAAAATAAACATTGTTCAGGATGAGGAAGAAAGATGTACTTAACTGTACTTACTGATAAAAAATTGGAAGGTATCTGAGATTACATAGAGATAATTTGAATATATCCATCTGACTATGATGTGGAGCTGTTTTGTACCTAGGAATTAATGCAGGGAAAAATGTTTTTACAAATTCTACAAACTGTTAGCTTTTTTCAAATGCTGAAAATTACGGATTGTTGCATATCCATCAGTATCCATAGTGAAAAAACTGGCAAATATGTTCATATTTTTTCCTTTCTCTTCAGGTTATGAAGGAGCAAACTGTGAAGTTGACATTGATGAGTGTGCAGAGCAGCCCTGTCAGAACAGTGGCGAGTGTTTTGAGCGCTCAGATCCTTCTCACTGGGAGCTGGACTGGGAGCTCAGGTTTTCAGACGCAGTCGGCTACATCTGCCAGTGCCAGGGAGGTTTCGCAGGTTGGCAAAGAATGAATGAGAAACTAAAAGGTCTCTCACACTTCAGCTTTGACGATGCTGACTGATGTTCTTCTACATTTCAGGAGAAAACTGTTCCATAAATATAGATGAATGTGAATCTGAACCGTGTCAGAACGGAGGCGCTTGTGAGGATAAAGTCAATGGCTATGTCTGTGTGTGTCCTACTGGATTCTTAGGTAAAGTTTCTAAATTACAACCAGCCAATCAGAACCAGGAGGAGGAGCTTAGAGCTTTCAGTTATATCATAAATAATAATGGAGAAGCAGGCAAACTGTTTATTCACTGTCATCGGAGGCTATGCTAACTAGCCTATCATTCATGGCAGGCTCTGCTGTGGGGGAGGAGCTGTAGTAGAGCAGAGGGAAAGGGGGGAAGATTATGAGAGGTGTGTACACAAGCTTGATTGACACTGTCAAGACCCTCCTGGCTCTGATTGGTTGTTTCTGATCAATTAATCAAACTATTTCTGCAGGCAGAAGGCAGAGGAGCTATTTTTTTTCATATACTATCCTTCTCATATTATGCTGTCACAACATAGTGATAATTTTTACAAATATGCCCCAAAAAATGCTACTGCCAAAACTTTAGCTTGTGACTTTGCAACACAGAGCAAATCACCTTATACATGCTGAATGTTGATATTTCATGTGAGTGTATGATTCCTTGTTCACAGCAGAATTCTACTCTATCTTAATAGAGCAGAAACATTAGAATATTTAAATGATTAAATCCCCTCTTGTTACTGTGTGTTAACTTCTACAGAGACCAGCTGCACCGTTTGTCTAACATCCAGTGTTCTCTCTCTCCAGGTGAGCTGTGTGAGTTGAACATTGATGAATGCGCGAGCCAGCCCTGTCAAAATGCCGGCTGGTGTGAAGATGGCAGAGGATCGTACACCTGTCACTGTCCTGAAGCCGAGCCTGGCGACCTTCCATGGGGAGGTGACCACTGTGAGGTTAAACTCTACGGGTGTGTTGGCCACAAATGCCAGAATGGAGCCAGTTGTCTCCCGACTTTGGAAGAGGGAAAGCACAGCCACACATGTCTATGTCCACATGGCTTCTACGATGAACAGTGCTCCACCAGAACAACGTTCTCACTGTCCACCCTTGGGTTCATCCATATCCAGATTGCGCTCAAAGAGAAAGTCCGCAGGGAGGTGGAGCACCGTGGTCACCAAGGTTTGGGGTTGCAGCTTCGCTTCCGGACAACCTTACCCAATATGTTAATCTTCTACAGAGGAGATCTGGATAACTATCTTTTCCTGGAGATTGTTAACGGTGGTCTTCATGCAAAAGCTTTTTCTGAAGAGTCTGAATTGGATGTTACATTTGCTGGCCCGGTGAGTGATGGAGACTGGAGGGATGTTCATGTGTTTTTGGATAACGGAAGTCTATTGTTGACCCTGAAGGGTCCTGACTGTGACAGAGATGGATGCACAGTCACAGATGATGGGGAACCTCCTTTCCAGCCCTCTCAAGCCTTCACTGATGTTTACATAGGGGGAGCACCAAATGACCTTCTGGAACTCTCTTTAAGTGGTGCAGGATTCCTTGGATGTATTGAAGACCTTATGATTGACTCGAAACCTATCCTACCCCAATTGCTTCCAGAGGACCAGGATTTTGAGTTGGGCTGTTCCAAGACGGAGTGGTGTAAACCTGATACCTGTCATGGGCACGGCCACTGTGTGGATCTGTGGACTAGCTACCAGTGTGACTGTTTCCGTCCCTTCCATGGGGAAAGCTGCTCTGAAGGTAACTATTTGCTCCAGCCAAGTTCCAACTTCCCAAACTTGGCACTTTCTTTTTCTTTTTTTTTTTTTTTTACTGTAGTCTAAGGCTGTTTTCTGAGTCATCACATAATAGAGGTAGTATAAGGTAGAAGCCGTACCAGATATGAGAATAAGGGTGTTACCTGATAGTCTGGTACTCGGTTTGATTGGAAACTATAGTTGCAACATTTGTTAGATTTTCAGCTGGTGTAGCAGTTCTCTTCACACTGCACCTGTCAAATAATCCAAACCCTTTGGGAAGCCAGCCTGTGGTGGCGCTGCACCGAGAACCACTGAAGAAAATGACACAAAACTCTCTGATGATATGACCGAAACCTTCTTCACTGCAAAAAGTAAACAAAAATGAATTGCCGTCGAATTTCATTATAGATGTATTTACCCACAATGACCTGCGCTATACTCCGCTTCCTGCTTTTGAAGCTGTCTCAGGTCCACTTGAATCCACATATGCATTCGAACCGCGCCGGCTTTAACTTCAACCGAGACCGAAGTTTGTATGTGGTCTAGACTCTAGAGTTCACTTCTTTGGTCCACATTAGAGTTAAAATACACAGAGGCAAACGGACTGCAGTTCAAGTAAAATGGACCAAACATGATTCACACCAGCCCTCATTGTCTTCTTCAGACTGAAGGAAACTTCCTATAGTGGTTCCTGGTGCAGCGCCCCCACAGGCGAGGGCAGGAACAGGTTTTTGAATGGGTTTGGACTGTTTGACACAGTGCAGTGTGATTTTGTTGAGCTATGTTGTTTGCTGTTTTCAAATATGTAGCTGTTGATTAGCAAATGGCTAACTTTAAATTTGCTAGCTGAAACTACCATTTCACTATGATGGACTAGGAGAGATCCCTGAGGTGGCTTTGTGTGTATTGGCTACTCATTTTCTGACTAGGGAAAGGTGAGGTAAATCTTTACACTAATCGTCTTCTTGTCCCTTGACAGAATATCTTTCATGGACGTACAGCCATGAGGACACAGTGAGTTTTAGCTCCTATGATTTGGAAGAGAGCCATGGAAGTAACTTCAGCGTGTCTTTTTTGCTGAAGTCCCTGAAGCCAGACGGGCTGCTGTTCCAGCTGAGAAGAGCCCATGCAGAAGATGAGGGGGAGGCCTACTTCTCCATCTACCTGAGGATGGGGAGGGTTTTCGTCAGCTCCCTGCCTGACAGCTCCCCGCTGACAGCTCCTGTGTTTGTGACCACCGGGGAGAAGCAGCTTCTCTCTGTGGAAGTCAAACACACACATGTGACGTTCGATCATGCAGGACTGAACTATGGACTAGGAGAGATCCCTGAGGTGGCTGTCCGGAGCGGAGATAAGGCTTATGTTGGAGGGCTTCCAGAAGGCTGGGACGCTGCTGAGTGGGGGGGGCATTTTAAAGGTTGCCTCCAGGACTTTCGTCTTGATGATGCACATTTGGATCCGGGTGGGTGGAGCAGCCCAGATGAAGTGGTTTATGTCTCAAGTGAAGCTGGAAATTGGAAGGAGGGCTGCATCAGTGATGATGCCTGCAAGGTAAGAGACCTTCCTTTTTCACTTTGTTGATGTAATTGACTAACAGAAATTTCTTTGTACACTTTTCCATGAGTAACATCACTTTATTTTACTCTTTCTTATTAGATTGAGAATCTCAATGAAATTAATTCCAGACTTTAATTAAACCACAACAAATCTTTTATCTTGTTTTTCGCTTGGTTTTGGTTTTTCTGTACCTTCAGAAATGGACTTGCTGATATGAGATAGATTCAGATGTAGTTTAGTTTATGATTATGAGCCGAAGGTGGGACATTCTCCTTCAGGGGTTTCCACTCAATATAGAAGTCCATCAGTTACAATAAGCCAAGTGGTGATCGTCAACCCAGCCAACACCATATCAGACAGTCAGGATGAAGTCGTTTTCCTGAAATGCTGTGTTAGTCACAGGTCGGACAGAACACACACTCTGGGCCTGATTGACAAAGATTTTGGCCTCTGGGCTGCAGCTGGGCTTGGTTCCTGTTACAACAGGGAAAATTACAGCACATTAACAGGAAGTCCTATAAATCAGCAGGTATGAATTGATGCATTGTAGGTTTAATAATAGATTTTGTTGTTCCCAACGAAATCTGTTATAAATTCATCATCTTCCAGTGCTTAAATATTGTTCATATTCCTAAAAATCCAGAATATTAATACAGCTCACCAATGAGTTTTATACAAAGTGCAATATTTGAACACGCATTAAAAAAAAAACAGAATAAAAAGAAACATTTTTGGTGTGGTCTCAAAAGTTGGGGCCCTGGGCTACTGCACTGTAAGCCCTTTCTGAAGTCTATTATCCCCAACATTCCTGTGGATCATCAAGATGTCTCCATTTGCTATAGTTGTCCTGATGTGCTGTGATAGTTTGACCTAACCAAGTCAGTCGGCACGTTTCCTGTTACAGACCAAACCGTGTCAGAATGGAGGGGCGTGCACCGTCACCTTCAACGACTTCACCTGTTCTTGTCCGGAGGAATACACGGGGAAGAACTGCCAAACACGAGTTTGGTGTGTCAGCAATCCTTGCGTCCACGGCGGCTTGTGCTTGGACCTTCCTAACGGATATGAATGTAAGAAATATGTGCCAATGTTTTTAAGCAAGTTATTCATCTATTTGTTGGATTAATGCAGCTCCTTGTATTTTGGCCCGGACACGTCTTCTATTCATCGTCTCCAGTCAGTACAAAATGCTGCTGCTTGTCTGATGATTGGCACAAAGTGAAAGAGCATGTTGGCTTTCCTTCTCTGGCTCCTTGTCTGTTTCAGGATCCAAACTAAAGTTTTACTCTTTGTTTTTAAATCATTGCTTGGTATTGCCCCTTCCTACTTGTCAGAGCCATCCTCCATTCATGCTTTTACCTTTTGATGCCTTTCAGCATTTTTTATTTTTATTTTTTTTTTGCCTTTTAAAGCACAAATAAATTTGACGGCTGGGGTTGCATAGAATAATACAGCCATTCAGTTTAGCAAAATGCCTGAGTGGACATAGCCTGGCCTTTGAGACAACATCTCCTCATCAGAGCTGCAGGTTCCAGGCTTCTAAGCTTCCACTTAGCAGCCCTTTCCAGCAACTCCCCAATTCTGCTCCTTCAGACTAGCCAGAGGCAATTAGCAAAGACCTGGTGGAACTGTGGAACTGCTCAACTCACTATAGCAGCTACTTCTCAGTGCAACACTGGTAAAAAATGTTGTTAAAGGTTAATAAAGGAGCCATGGTGTGATGACTTCCTGAAGGCAGTTTAAAAAAGAGATTGAGTTTTTAAAGAAACAGGCACCCTATTACCAGCCAATGAGTTATGAAGTCAACTTTCTTTGAAGTTATATTTAATATATATAGCTTTTTTAGAACAACTGTAGTTATCATAGTTATTTGGTTGTGCTGTAAAATGGCACTCTGTGCCTGGAAACCTGACATTGGTGAAATTTGACTTTGCTACCTAACTTGAATTAAAAGCAACAGGAGAAAAAAAGCTGATGTATTTTTATACGCTTTGAGAAAGAAAAAGTTCACAGCATGACTAGTCATTTGATGAAAACCACATGAACTCTTGAATAATCGCAACATTTCATCCATGTTCACTGCTAGGTTTGCACAACGCCACGTTTGAGAGCAACCCAGTGCAGTACAGTGCTGCAGGCTCTCTGGCTGGACCCATCGCTGACATCTACATGGAGCTGCGGACCCGGTCAGAGAACGCTGTGCTCCTGAGGGCCTCCTGGGGCTCCAATCTGCTGGTTGTGGGCATCCTGGATTCTTCAGTCTGGTTGGAGATCCAGACGGACAGCAGCATCAAGTCGCTGACCCTTAAAGGAATCCGTCACGTGACTGACGGACGCTGGCACCGCGTCAACGTCTCCATGGCAGACTGGAAGCGCAAAGCCTCCCCCTGGGTCATCACTGTCGATGGAATCACAGATGCCACCAGCAAACAGGAGCGCACAGGAAGTCTGAGCTTCCTCAACAAGAAAGGAGCATCGCTGGCTGTTGCAGACAGCTTTACTGGCTGTTTGGGTGCAGTGAGGCTGGGTGGGATTTATCTCCCCTTTACAGATGACCATAAAGCTCCGCAGCCCTCTCAGTTTCACATAGTTGGAAAACCCAAAGTGCATCTGGGCTGCAGCAGCGTGCCGGTTTGTGACTCAGGTCCCTGTCTAAATGGAGCCACGTGTGAAGACTTGTTCAATAAATTTGGTTGTGTGTGTGACACGGGTTGGGAGGGAGAGCTGTGTGACACGGACACAGACGACTGCGCCTCTCAGCCCTGCGTCTACGGCAGCTGCAAGGACTACCTGGCTGGCTATGAGTGCCGCTGTGACCCCGGTTACACCGGAACGCTGTGTGACGAAGATGCTGATGAGTGTGCTCTTCATCCCTGTGAACATGGAGGAATCTGTCAGGATGGGGTCAACATGTTCACCTGTGTGTGTCCCACGGACTACAGTGGCCCCCGCTGCCAGTGAGTGCCGGCTATAGCCATTCTTGTTTCCATACTACATCCCATCTGTTGAGGGTTATGAGGTATTTCTTATCTTTGAAATATAACAAGCCATGAGAGAGATCACCCAAACTGTTGATTTTGTAATGACAAAGTGATATGTAATGGATTTACTATATCATGAAGGCAAGGTGTAGATCCAGTATCCACTTTTGAAATTCCTTTTATAATATTTTCTTCTTCTTTTTTTTTTTTTTTTTTTAGGTGGGACTATCCTCCATTACAATGTGACACAGATGTCCAATGTGCAAATGATGGAATATGCAGAGATGGACTCTGGGGAGCTAACTGCACATGCATGCCAGGTTTCACAGGCAGCAGGTAGAACAACCTGAACATTTGCAAAATCACATTTGACAAAAATGTGATTTTTTTGTTTTTTCTATATTTGTTAAAACTGTCACCATGTGATGACACAGTGTCTCATCACTAAACTAAGCTCTTCCACATGCTCACTGAGCCGCTGTTGCCATCTGCAAACACAATCCACTCCTGGAAAAATAACCCCAACCAATCACAGCCAGGAGGAGGTTCTTAGCGCTGCCAATCAACACGTTCATGCGCTGCTCAATGTGCTAATAGCGGAGAAACAACTTACTGTTACAGAAAAACTGCCTATCTGCTGGTACGAATGCTAGTCATGCTAATTAGCCTTAGCATTCATGAGGATAGTGGTTATGAGCAAATCTGGTGGCATGAAGTCATACAAACCATAATTAACATGTAACACATTAAACAAGTATTGCTTAATGCTGAGATAGGTATTTACAGTAACGTGTCTTTTGGGTGTAACAACATTGCTAACTGTGTGGGGAACCCAACTAAATGGATTAAATGGATTTCACACAAACACACTTCCATCAGCCTGGCCGTCACTGCCTTTCACATGACATCATTTCCTCTTTTCTTTAGGTGTGAACTGGAGCTTGATGAATGTAACTCCAACCCTTGTCGGAATGGCGGCTCCTGTTTGGATCGCTTCAACATGTTTGTATGTGAATGCCCGCCGGGCTACAGCGGCCCGCTCTGTGATGTCAACGTACGTTTCCTCCGTTGGTCTTGTTCTCATATTTTCTGGGTGTCTGGGATGTGTGTAAGCCAAAGACTGCAACTAAACAAACAAAAACAAGACCCCCGGGATTATTGCTAGAGTTTGTTTTCCTGTGTGTTTGCAGAAGGAGGCCCATAAACAGGGAATCCCGTGGCTGATGGTGGTTGTCCCGCTGCTCTGCCTCTGTGTGGTGGTCCTGATCATCGGCGCCACCTTCATGCTGCTCACAGCCAGGAAGAAGCGCCAGTCAGAGGGGGCTTACAGTCCCAGCGCTCAGGAGCTGGCCGGAGCCCGGCTGGAGATGGACAGCATGCTGAAGGTCCCACCAGAGGAGCGATTGATCTGACCGCCGGTTGCTGGCTGGAGGGAGTTCGATCTGATTGGATCGCTGCAGGATGAGCTGGGCGCTCTGACGCATCACAAGGCACAGCCTCCGAGTGGCGGCCGACGCTTCCCAGCCCTGTAAATGTTGTTTATGGCGGAGCCTTAACGCTAGTTTTCTGCCAACTGACACTTATGTGGACTGTGTGTGAGTGTGCAGCGTCACAGTCCTCTGGCTCTGCACCTGCGTTAATGGATTACAGCATGTACTGTACTGGACCTATGACTTAAATCTCTGGCTTAACTTGTTTTCCTTGTGACACTGAGATGCTCAGATCCCTGCCGGAGGGAAACGTCCTGCAGCACCTCTGATCTCTGCAGCTCTTCTCGTGGCAGGGGAAATAGTGGAGAACTGCAGAACAGTTTGATGTCATCAATTGTTTTGTCTCCATTAAATAAAGTGGATTTTTACCCTGATGTTAATTTGTGTACAGTGCCTTGCAAAAGTATTCAAACCCGTCAGCCTTGTAACTCCCCTGAAGGAGTTACAAGAAGGAAACTGGTGTTGAAAGAAAATCAAGAAGTTCTGTCTGCATTTTACCAAAAGTCATGGAGAGGAGGCAGCAGGAAGGCGGCGTGGTAAACACACCGGTTGCTTTACTTCAACACAGCCAGAGAAGTTAGTCAGAAGGTCCAGATCGAAAACATGTTTTCTACAAACATGCCTTGAAACTGAGGCACTGACTCACCTTCCAGCAGGACAACATTCAAATCAAGGATTGGACTAGATCAAATCACATTTGTGTGTTTGAATGGCTGAGTCAAAGTCAGGATCTGAACTAACTACAAGCACTATAGCCATATACGTAGGTTCTATTTCTAGAACCTCTGTTGCCAGTTTTAAGTTTGAGCTTCTCTGCTGCCAGAAAGTTTGAGCCAAACTCTGGAGTTCATAACGGTAGAGATGAGCCCCAGAAAGATGCTCAATGAGTTATGAACTCAGGGAAGTTGAATACAAATGTGTGACATATTTTTAAGACGTTTCATTGCCTTGTATAATTTTCCTTCGACTTGACCATAACGCTTTATTCTCGTTACGAATCCCAATGAACGACAATGAAATTTTATGCTCCAATGTGAGAAACTGGAAAAGGTGCGAGGGATGCAAGTACTTTTGTAAGGCACTGTGACCCGAGACAGGAAGGGTCTGGACTCTCTACACCACGCTCAAGTTTTTATTTATTTAACAAAAATCAGAAACTAAATGTGATGGAAGTAGGGGGGCTTCAAACAGTTCTGTTTTCAGTCTGCATGTTCTGATGCTGTTTAAAACGACGACCAGAACGTCAGACATGCAAGTCATGCACAGCAGAACTCTGTAAAAGCCTTTCGCTGCTGCCTTCTTCATACTGGTGTTGCACTGAATTTTCTACAAAGTTCTGTTTTTCAAACCGGTTCAGATTGTTTATTCAGTATTAATTCACAACATGTCATCTGATGGAGGAAATCCCAATTCAGGTCCAGTTACACACTCCAATCAGTTTCTAATACAGACCCATCCAATCCACTGTAATATCATTCAAATGTCCACAAACAGCTAATGAGAACAAGACCTTTAACATGTTTATGTTCCACATGCTAGGCCATTACTACAGCATCCTGCAGACTGTGCTGTAAATAACTACAGATTACTATGGTAAAGTGTAATACAAAAATGTAAGAGTTTAAGTGTGTATCTCCCATTGTACTTGTTGGGAGTTGTTTGATTTTTTTGTCAAGCTGGGTGAAATGTGTCGTCCACTGTAGGATTACAGGACCAAACTAACACCAACTCAAGAGTCACAGAAATGTATGCAAATAGTTTTAGGTTTACATTGAGACCTTATATTGCAAGACTGTTGTTGTCAAGTGAAGGGCGTCTCTTCCAGTTTCACATTATTTATGAGAAGGAAATTACAACTGTCCAAGTACTGTCCGTCTTATAGGTTTCCGTTTTAGATGATTAAGTACAGCATGCAGTTTGGTTTAAAAAGTAATCTCTCCCTGAACATAATTTGTGGTTGTTCAACTCTTGGCAGCAAAAAGTCATTTGAAAGTGTTGAATCCATAACTCTTCTGTAAAACTTCAAACTATTTTTCCTAAATAGCTTCTCCCAAGTAAAGTAGAAGGGGTTTGATCCTCCAACGCTGCCAGTTTTCAGTAGTTAATCTACCACAGGTCAGCTGCTCCCTGGACAGACAGCTGCACTGCCGGGGGGCAGCAGAGGACACACACCTACACACACACACACCTACACACACACACCAGCACACACACGTCAAGAACATGCAAACACCACATAGAGCAAACCGCTGCAATAGCATGCAAGCTCAATAGCAAGTTTAAAATAAACCTGTACTTACCATGTATTTTTATTAATTCATTTGGTCAAATTTGCTCTGTATGATTTCACGTCTCTTAATATTTTGAGGTATGTTTTGTAGATGTGACAGTTATGCATCCTGTTCCCTGATGCCTACAGGCTTCATTTCCTTTCACACTGCTCACCCATTCAGGTTGATCCTGTTTGGCTGGAATATGCCGTCCATCTATGATGGCATATCGGTGCCGTTGCATGTAGGGGAAAAAAAAAGTTAATTTCTGCCAAAAAACTCAAACATTTTGAAATTCATTTTCAGAAATCTTCTAGAAAACATTAAGGTTTTTTGGCAGAAGCATCTTTTTTTCCGTTTACAACGGCGCTAATACTCCGATGTACCATCATGTTAGAAAGAAACAAAAATCGACCTGAAATCTCTTTCAGCTGTTATTCCAGTTTTGCATTAATACCATGATAGATAAACTGATATTTTTTTTGTTTCTGTTGCGAATATTTTCAGAGTACAGTAATTCTGTGACATTATCTAAGCGGCACAAAAACAATGAAAAAATGGTGCATATGTGAAAAGGAAACAAAGTTTTCTCCTCTTGTTGCACTTGAATTCTTATTGCTGCCAGTGTTTACATTAATGCTGATGCTCGTCTACATGAGAAGTTCATTTGAAAAATAAAATATGGAGTTTTTTAGTGTCGTCAGTCTTCGTCATTCCTTTTAGCTACGAGAGCTTAGAGGTTATTTCAGGAAATGTAGTGAATAAGTCAAAGGTCAATTAGACAAAGTAATCCACAACAAAGTGATGCTTTGCAGACACTTTATTACACAAATACAATAGTTACTGAAAATAGTACTCTTGTACTTAAACCGGTGTCACAGCTAATGCAAGGTAGGCCACATGTGACAGCGTAGCTAAATATCTATGGCATGCGGTTAGGAAAGCCTCTCAAGCTTCATAGCAAACTATAAGCAGCGGCAGAAAACATGGAATACAATATAAGAAATGACAACCCAAAAACTGATCCACTAACGTAAAACTTGACGTTACAGAAAGTGACTCAACAAATTATTGATTTTTTTTTGTTTATTTTTTTTTTTAAAGATGCAATTTACTAAATAATTCACTTGAATTCTGCTGTAATAAAATATCTGAGCAGCGGTTCAATGGAAAATAAATTCTCTTGTCCTGAATACAGTTCTGGATAAATGTGCTGTTTTTAGTGAACTCTGGAAATGAACAGAGGAAATAGTTTAGTGGGCCAGAGAGAGAGAGAACATTAAAAAAAAAAAAGCACAGTGGGTTCAGATTAGCCTTTGACAACAAGCAGAAAGCTGCAGCAGCATGTAGTCTGCTCCCCACATGTTACACAGTTAGCCTACAAGATCTGGACTATTTGCCTTGAAGAAAACAAACCAGCAGAAGGCACAGAATCACAAGTGAAATGATAGTCAACCAAATACAATGATGATGCTGAAATGTCATAAGGAACATCAAATGACTTCTATAATCCCAACTGCAGCAACAAATGTCAGGATTCTCCTCTGAAATCCCCATTCATCTCATCCCTAAACTGACACTGAAACACTGGAGGTTTAATCTGAGCCAACATTCAGATTGAGCATCAGCAACATTTAATAATCTGTGACAGGAGACAAACCCGGCTGACAACAGCCCCACCTGGCGGTAGTCTAGGCACTACAGTCACAGGGCTGCAGGACTTTATGAAAACGATTAAAAAGTGAGAGCTAAGAAATAAAAAGAAAATAATACAATAAAAAAAGATAAATAATAAAAACTACATGCACATATTTTTTCTACATAATAATGCATTTGCAGATTTTCTTGGACTTTTTAAGGCTAAACCTGATAATAGTGGACGGTTGGTTTTGGGGACTGTGCTGATAGTTTTACCATGAAGGCATTTCTTTATATATAAAGAAAAATATAAATATAATCATTTTGTCTCCAAGAGTTTGTCAAGATGACAATAAAATGAATTTTATATACAAGAACACATTTAAATATATACATTAAATAGCAATATTGGCAGCTGACAACAGTTACAAAAACAGTGAATTAGCACATGTGAGAAATCTAAGCTGTGTTTGGAGGGGTGTGGGGGACGGAGGGGCTGCCTAAGAGGAGGACTGAGGAGGAGGAGGGCGAGGAGGAGGAGCAGAGTACTCCTCTGTGTCCGAGTCGCTGCTGTCCTCCACGTTCCTCTCCTGGTCACTGCCCTCAGTGCTCAGCTGGTCGAAGCCCTGGCGACTGTAACCTTTGTGAGACGCAAAGAATTTCCCCAGGTTCAAAGTTCCCACTGCTTTACCTGACGGGGAGGAACAGGAACAGGGGAGTTACCTCCTGCTGGAGTTCAGGATCAATCTATAGGACATGCAACACAGGCACAGTCCAGAAATGCCTTTTTTTTTTTTTTGTCTTACCTCGAATTTTGCCCAAGACTCCTCCCACAGAGCGAGGCTCCATTTTGATCTCATTTCTCTCTGAAAACAGTCAGTAAACAGAAAATGAGTGCAGGCCACACAGCAGGACTAACTTAGTTATGGTTAGCATAGAGCTTCCCTCTAGAACACCCCGTGTGCAGATATTTGTCGGCTCTTAGAGAGAATCTGTGCATAAAGTCAGAGTAGTTGTCCTGTTTGCTCATCATACATACTGTTTTTCATCCAGCACATAAAGACTCCCAGGAAGACGATGACCAGCAGAAGGACGAGGAGCAGCGAGACGACAACAGCAGGGAGGACGCTGTTCTCTTTCTTTGACTTGGGTGAGCTTTTCCTGGGTTCCACTTCCACCAGCGGATGGCTCTTCTCTGACACGGTTTGCTTCTCCTTGACAGCCGCAGCCTTCGAAATGTTGGGATGTGGCTTCAGCTTGGCTTGGACGAACGCCTCCACTTCTAAACAGAGAGCAGGCGGGATGATGCTGGGATCTGACAGAGCAGTCAGGTGTCACAAATGGAATTTAGTCTGCTTACCTTCAAGTTCCTGCACCTCGATTCCGGCTTTCTTCACAGAACGGTGCAACTCTGAAAAGTGGAGACAGAAAAGTTCCAAATAAAAACCAATGTATGCAGTTTGTAATCAACAAATCTGCGACAGAAAAGCCCCACAGACAAAATAAAATATGTTGGATAAGCTGATATTGAACCCAGGTGAACAAGATAAAACACATTTAGTTAGAACATTTAGCATAGTGTTATAATAAACATGAACTTACTTTCTGCAGTAAACTTAAAAACTGAATTGCTTCCTGCGTCTCCGACAAAAACACTTCCATCCTTAGATACCACGATGTCATGAGGCATTTTAAACTCCTGTAGAAAGGAAAATACAAAAGTAACCATGTTATTAACATACTGTGCCTTTCAAAAGTGTTCATACCTTTAACCTTTTCACATTTGTCACTTTATGTTCACAAACGTCAATGAATTTTAGTGGGATTTTATGTGATAGATAACCATAGAGTAATGCAGTGGTTCCCAATCATTTTCTGGGCTCCCTATGGATTACAAATCTCACCCAATAAAGGAAAACAAGAATCAACTGGACACACATACATCCTTCAACCAGACATAAACCTATAAACATATTCTGTTTTCAAACTCCACTGAAGTTTATTTCACATTTCAGGTTGCAACAAAACAAACTACAAACCGTCTTTACAGTGAAACACTTTTGTGTAACTTTTTTTTTTTGTTGTTGTTTTTTTTTCCATTCATCCACACCGCCCCTGCAATGACACTGCGCCCCACACTTTGAGAACCACTGGAGTAATGCATGAATGTAAAGACAAAGAAAAATTACAGATTGTTTTGACTTTTATTTAGGACTAAAAACAGAGATGAACTTATTTTCTCACAACATTTAAACCCAGCCACTATCATAATAAAAATACCAAAAACGTTGATTTTACATAATAACCTTGCCTTATCTCTTAAGTTCTCCACAACAGGGAACTCTAACAAGATATAAGTATCAATTACGTCATCACATCTGAAAAATTATTACTTTAAAAACTGATTGTTATTTAAAATGATTAAATAATCTGGTATTAAATTACAATTGCCCATCCTAATCTAAGAATGTCCATTTGGCAAATCTTTATGAGAGTTTCTCAGAGAGTTTCTAGTGTTAATACAACTCACAGAGGAATCCAGAAATGGATTTAAAAAGTCACAAATATCTAATAATGAAGCTCCAGCTAACACGTTTGTTTCTTGTCTAGCAAGCATCTGTTTTTAAGAAAAGATCCGTCAGTGTATGACAGCATGTTTACCTTCTGGGTGGGACTGAAGGAATCCAGAATTTGTTTGGTTGAATAATCTAGAACAAACCCTCTGAGTGGAGCTGAGTGGTAGGGCGAGTCTCCATTCACTGCAAAGATCAGGCCGTCTTCAGGGCGGGGAAGACAGGAAGGAGATTCATTAAAAACAACTAAAATGACACATATTCACAATTCAAAAAACCTCAGCAGAGATAAGTGAAGATGTTGGGAAAAAAAATCATCTGATGTCTGAAAAGAAGAAGAATATGAACAAAACCTAAGTTTGGGCCAACAGTGCCAGTGTACTCACTTCCCACAGGGCTGTAGGTGATGGCAAACACTTCTCCTCCAAACTCTTCGTTCTTTATCTCTTTGACAAACTCGCCGGTCTCAGCGATGAAGCACTGGATCCGGCCGTTTTCCCTGTCAGCCACACACACTTCCTTCCTTTCAGGAAGGAGAACCAAGCTGTGGGGGATCCGGAACGGAGTGCGCCTCCTTCTGTCTGAAGAACCTTTACCCAAAACGTAAAGATGAGAAGGTGAATTTCTGATCCACAAAGCATCAGTGTTAGTAACGTGTAATAACTGTGAATCATTGTTTCTCTGACTGCATAGAAACTGGGATCCTGAAGAATAAGTCTGGCTACATTGATTAAATTTGCACTCTGATATTTGACACTAAAGTGTAAACAGGAATACCTTGAAGTTTAATGAATTCCTGAACCAAGAAACAATTGGTTTTGTTACAATTCTTTGGAATAAAACTGAAACCTCTTGGTTTTAGGGCTTTAACACTCCATGTCTCTGTGTGTAATGTGAGTTGGCTACCTGCTCCCCACTGAGTTAAGTATGTGCCATCGGCAGCGAACTTCAGGATCCTGGCGTTGCAGTAGCCGTCAGACACAAAGATGTTCCTGGTTTCAGGGTCGACGGCCACGTCTGTCGGCTGGCAGAAGTGCTCGGTGTCGCTACCCGGAGTGAAAGCCTCTCCCAGGACCAGCAGGGTTCTGTCCCTGCCATCACCGCTCACTTTCAACACCTGAGGAACAGCAACGCACAAAACAGTAGAAGGAGACTTCAGTGCCACTGTCAGGGTGGGAATTTATCCTGTTGATAAGAGATTTATTATGATAAATAATAAATTTATTATGATTTATCATTTATTATGATAAATCTCTTATCATAATAAGAATTTTGACTGATCGCTGTCACAATAAATTGCCTGTAAGTTCCTCATACTGTGAGAAACTTACAAAAACACGGCGAGATGGGCAAAAAGTTGGTCGCATTTTATGGATTTTTTTTTTTTGTGTGCAGCTTTTCTGTCTGTAGAGTGAAGCTATGACTGCACTTCACTACAATCACAGCCCAAAAACTGAAATACGACTCTTAACACATTTTTCAT